ACACTGGATTCAGCCACCCCCGGCCCGGAGCGCCCTCATCCCCCTGGACTCTCTTCCTCCGCCTCCTGACCGCGGGTCTGCGGAGGTCCAGAATCCCCGGGGTACCCCCCTTCCACACCCCGGGCCCCGAAGAGCAACTACTGTTAGTCCCCCGCCTGCCTGTCATCATCTCCTGTGAGGTCAGAACTCCTGCAGTCCCCACTCCTCAGCCTCTCAGAGGGGGCGGCTGGCCCAGGCGACAGGCAGAAAGGAAGTGATAGAGGGGTAAGTCTGGACTCTCGCCCCCCCCCCACCTCCCAGCTGGGGGGGGGGGGGGTGCCTGCAGGCCACCGGGTCTCCCACCTTGATCTCAGCCAGCTTTGTGCCGCGGCTGCAGTCCCACACGGACAGCATGTGCTCGTTGGAATCATCCACCACGCAGAGAAAAGCACCCTGATCCTGAGGGCGGGACACGGGGGAGGGGCCGAGTGAGGACCAGAGGTCTGGGAGGGCACGGTCATTGGGCAACACACACACAGCATCACAGGTCTGGAGGGAAGGAGAAGGGACACACGTCCCTCTCTCAGGAGAACCGGCTGGGCAAGGTTCAGGCGGGCCAGGAGGTCTGAGACTTCCTGGTGAGGTGCAGGAAGGGGCTCCGGGATAAGGAAGACGGGGGCCAGCTCACCACCACGGAGAAGGCCAGGGCCCCCACGCCTCGCTCGAAGGCCCCCAGTCCGATCTCCTGCAGCTTCAGCAGCGTCTCCGAGTCCCACACGTGCACCACGGGCTGCAGGGGCTGGAGCGGGGGAAGGGTCAGGCGTGGGGAGGAGAGCTGGCCTACGGGGTCATCCTCCGCCTGGGTTTGAGCCTGGCCTCACCTTTCCATCCTTATCCACTCCGGCTGTCTGTCCCGAGGCCACACGGACGCCGTCAGGGTGGACGGCCAGGCTACGTGGGGGAGCAGATGCTCTGAGGAAAGGGGGGGGCGGGTCTCTCAAGACCCCCCAGGCCGCCCCTCTAGGCAGCTCCTCTCTCCTGCTACTCCATGCCCGCCCAGGCCCTCTGTCTGCCAAGCCCAGCACCCCCACCCCAGGCTGCCCACCGCCCGGCCCAGGCCCCTCACCATCGAACGCAGTCCGTGTGGCCCCGGTAGTGTCTCTGGCCGCCGCCTCCAGGCCCCCCGGGGCCTCCCCCGGGCCGGTACAGCACCACCACGCAGGCGATGAAGTAGACCACCTCCCCAGAACGCAGCACGAACAGGTTAGAGCGGGAGTCGCGACCCCTGTACCCGTAACTGGAGTGGGGGTCGCGGTCAAGGAAAGGGTCAGATCAAGGGCAGAATGAGGAAGGGAGGAGGACAGAGCTTCTGGCTGGCAGAGGATAGTAAGGGAGGACTCGGGGGGTTTCCCGTCCCTGCAGAGCCAGGAGGAAACCATAAATGGAGGGGTGGGGGGGTCCCAAGATGGGAAAGATGGCTCCCAGGGGCCTGGAGGGGGCAGGATACACCCAGTCAAGGCTGAGGGTCTCCGGGGGTGGGCCGCTGGGCAGCTCCTCAAGGCTGCGGATGCCAGATGGGATGTACATGGTAATTGGGCGGCCGCGAAGGAACATCTTCACTGAGATGCCTTCTACAGAGAAAAGGGGGGTGTCAACCACCACCCTGCAGCCCCCCCTCCAGGGAAGCCAGAGCAGACCTCTCCCCACCAGACCTCACAGGTCGCTCCAAAGTAGCTCCTGGGGCTCCAGCCCAAACCCTAGCTCTCTCATCCACATTCTTCCAGATGCTTCTGTGCTTACCCAGATTGTAATTGCTCCTCCGAGATCCCGAACCCCCGGGGCTGGAAAGGGGGTCTTTCCCCCCACGGCTGCGGGAAGACAGAGAAGCATGGGGTTGGGGTCGGGACCCGAGATGTACGTGCAAAGGGGCCGAGCACAGAGGAGGCCCCAGTCACCCCGAGGCGCAGTCTGGATGGTGGGCGTTCAGCCCTGGAGGAGATGGACTCCCGGCTCCACCTAAGGCATGAGCCCCGGCCATACAGCTTGCAGAGGCAATGGTGGAAGGGAATCCAGAATGTCCCCCAGCCCTGCCCTTCAGGGCTCTGGGCCCTGCTCTCTCAGGAGGAAAGGAACAAATTCCGGAGATCACTGTCATAGGTGGTGAGGCCTCTCCCGAGAATGAAGGAGAGACCCAGGGCAGGGCTAGAATGTCCTGAGGCCCGGCCACACTCGGAGACAGCTACGCTCAGCCCCTGGGATCTGCCTCAGTCTCAGTGTCCTGCTGGAGAAAGGGGCGGGGCCGAAGCTCTGCGGAGAGTCACCCAGGGAGATCATGGAAGCTTCTGGAGAAGCCTCTTGGCATCTCCAGGGGAACATGGTGACAAGGAGGAAAGAGCAAGGAGCTGGGGTCAGGGAGAGTTGAGTTGGAGTCCTGCCTCTAGCTGTGTGGCCCCAGGCAAATGACTGACCCTTTCTGGGCCTCCTGGTCCTCACCTGGACAATGAACAGCATGAGACCTCACCTACCCCCAAAGGGTGCATGGGACTGAATGAGAGGGAGGCGGTCGAGGACTTAGCACAGTGCTGGTCCCTTTCTTCCTGCTGGGCAATGAGGCCCCCACCCCACCCAGGGAGGTGAGTAAGGGCCTGGGTGGGGCAGACTGGGGAGCCTCGCCCACCTCTCCGTGCTCCCTGACCGCAATAACAGGTTGGCCGATGACGCTGCCTTCCGAGAGAGCTTCTGTCGAGGCCGCTCGCAGGGGGACGAGGAGGAGGAGTTCCTCCGGGCCCTGACGGGAGCAGTGAGCGGTGAAGGTCATCCCCTCTGACCCTGCTCCGAGGTCCTCCCTTCCCCCTCCAGCCTCGGCCACAGGACACTCACGTGTCAGTGCACTGGGGGGGCTGGACGAGCCTGAGGATGCCTGGGGAGCCAGCGCCCCCCGGGGAGCCAGCACCCCCCGGGGAGCCAGCACCACTGCTGCTGCTGCCCCCTCCCTCAGACTGGGTTCCACCAGGCTCCTCACTGCCCCCCTGAGGGGCCGGGGGCCCGTTGCTCAGGCGGGGGGTTGCCAGGGACGCCTCCATCTCCAGCTCTGTCTCCGTCTGGGTGCCTCGGCTCACCAAGGAGGGGCTGCACGGGGGCGGCAGTGCTGCGGGGGCTGCAGGGCTGCGGAGGAGACAGCGGATCAGCCCGATGCCCGCTGAGGCCCCAGAAGGAGGAGGAGGGGTGACAGCATGCATACCTGGCCCCGGTCGGAGCAGTCGGGCCAGGATCCCGCAAGGAGCTGGGGGGGTCCTGCAGGGAGCTGGGGGGCGCCTGCAGCCGAAGCAGGCGAAGGGCCTCGGCCAGGGCTGCCTTGACCAGCTCCATCTCCTTCTCCTGCACCTGGAGCCGCCGGCTCAGGGCCTGCAGGGCCTGCTGAGCAGGGCCCTCGCCTGGGAAAGGGGAAGGGGAAGGGGAAGGAAGGGGAAGGCGTGCTCAGGAGGTCCGCCACCTGGGGAGGCTGCGCGGGTTCTGTCTCCGCCCGGCTTTGCATGCGAGCAGGAGGCTGCAGCCCGGTCCCAGGCTGCCCGGAGGGAGGAGACGGCGGAGGACCCGGAGCCTCCTGCTGGCGGGCCGCGAGGAAGCTGGCAGGACGCCTTTCCTGCCGCCGTCCAGGCCTCCCTCCGCAGGCAGGGCGGCGCGGGAGCCGGGGAGAGCGGGGAGACCTGCCACGGGGCGTGGGAACCGCAGAGGGAGCCGCGGAGCCGGGGAGGGACCGGGCCCACCCAGAGCAAGCTCAGGCTGCAGGGCAGGCGGGAGCCGGGGCGGCAGCCCCGGGGCAGAGCGGGGACACAGCGGGGACCGGGAGAGGAAATGCGGGGTGACAGGAGCGGGCACCGCGGGGGCAGAGCCACGGGGAAGGTCCGGGGTCACAGTTGGGGGTCAGAAGTAAAAAGACACGAAATGACAGCAGCAGAGGCCCAGGTGACCCGGGGACAGGGGACGTCCAGGTGCGGAGGGCGGGATGGGGGTGGGGTGGGTAAGTCCGGAGGGACAGCCGCAGGGCCCCCGGGACCCGGGGAGCGCCCGGGGGGCCGTGCAGGACGCTCCAGCCCCGGGCCGCGGAGCACGCGGCGCCCCTGGACGGCCGTCGGGCACCAGCAGCGCCGGACCGGCCGGCCGGGCGCTCCGGGAAGGGGCTTGCCGCCCGCCCGCCCCGTACTCACCGGGCCCCCCGGCGCCATCCATCCGGCCCCCGGGCTGGCTCCGAGCGGCGGCGGCGGAGGCGGCGTCTAAGGCGCGGGGGCCATGGCCCGGGAGCGGGGAAGGGGAAGCACCCCGGGGCGCGCAGGGCGCCGGGCCACCCCCTGGGGGCGCTGTCGGGCTCGGGGAGAGGGGCCGGAGGGGGCGGGAGCGCGGGCGCGGGCCCGCCGGGGCCTCGGACTCTCCCGGGGCCGCTCCGGGCTCCCGGGGGTGGAGTGGCGGGGCCGTCGCGGGCCCCAGCGCCGCGGCACAAACAGGCGCCGGACGCGGAGCCGCCAGGAAGCGCGGGAGGGGGGGCGGGCCCAGGGGGGGCCGGGCCGCCCGGTAACCCCTCCCTGTCCGGGCCCCGCGGCTCAGCACGGGGCGGGGCCAACCCGCTGACCCCCCCCTGGCCCCGTCTGGCCTCCGCTCCCGGGCCCTTCCGGGATCTCCGCCCCCGGGCTCCCTGGGGACTCGTAGGGCGCGTGGACCTCGAGGTCTCCGCCCCCCGCCCTCAGCCCCCAGCCCCCCGGGGCCGCCGGCCAGCCCCACCCCCTTCCGGGAGGGGCCGGGGCGGGGCGTTCCCCGGGGGCATGGCCGAGGCATCCCGAATTGGCTCCGGCGTGGCCGGGGCGCCGGGCGATCCAGGCTGGGGTGGGAGGGCTCCCAGAGTATTGGGGTCAGGATGGCATTAGCCCAGCTCAAGCCGGGCTGGGCTGACTCAGCGCCCTGCCCGGACAGCCCGTCCCTGCCAGCCCGTCCCCGCCAGCCCTGCTCCTCCCGGGCAGAGATGGGAGATGGCGCCCGTGCTGCCCCTGGCGCTGCCGCCGCGGCCCCGCGTGCGCCTGGCGCAGGGGCTCTGGCTCCTGTCCTGGGCGCTGGCGCTGGCCGGCGGCCTCACGCTGCTGTGTAGCGGGCACCTCCTGGTCCAGCTGTCGCGCCTTCGCACCTTCCTGGCTCCCTCCTGCCCGTTCGCCGCGCTGCCGCAGGTGGCCCTGGCGGCGGGCGCCGCGGCTCTGGGCACGGGACTGGCGGGCGCGGGAGCCAGCAGGGCCAGTTTGGACGCCGCGCAGTACCCGCCCTGGCGGAGGGTCCTGGGCCCCCTGCTGGTGGCCGGCACCGCGGGGGGTGGCGGGCTGCTGGTCCTCTCCCTGGGGCTGGCCGCAGCTCTGCCTGGCAGTCTGGACTCGGGGCTGGAGGAGGGCCTGGGCGCTGCCATGGCTCACTACAAGGACACAGAGGTGCCGGGACACTGCCACGCCAAGCGGCTGCTGGATGAGCTGCAGCTCAGGCACCACTGCTGCGGCTGCCGTGGGTTCAAGGACTGGTTTGGGGTCCAGTGGGTCAGCAGCCGGTACCTGGACCCCAACGACCAGGATGTGGTTGAGTGAGTGACTTGCTGCTCTCCTCCTCCTCCTCCTCTTCCTCCTCTCCCATCCTTTAAAACCCCACCTCACCCAGATCGGCACCAAATAGAGCTTAGTGACTGAGAGAATGAGGACAGCTCGGCCATGACTGAGCTGCGTGGCCCAGGGCGCGTTAGCAAACTCCTCTGGGCCCGTGTCTCGTCTGTAGGAGGGAGAAGGTACCAGTGTCTGTCTTACCGAACTGCTGTGAAGACAAATGCATAGCGCATGCCTGGCACAGAGGAAAGCAGTTGGAAGTGTGTCCCTCTCCTTTTCCCCTTCTCACTCTGTGCTCCAGCTCCTCCCCAGGCCTCCATCTCCAGACACCCTCACACCCTGCCCCTCCGTTTGCAGCCGGATCCAGAGCAACGTGGAAGGCCTCTATCTGATTGACGGGGTCCCCTTTTCCTGCTGCAACCCCCACTCACCGCGGCCTTGCCTGCAAGACCAGCTCTCAGACCCCCACGCCCACCCCCTCTTTGATCCCCGTCAGCCCAACCTCAACCTCTGGCCTCAGGGGTGCCACGGGGTGCTGCTGGGGCACCTGCAGGGGCTGGCGAGCACGCTGGGCAGCATGCTGGCCGTCACCTTCCTGCTGCAGGTGAGTCCGCAGTGCCTGAGGCCTCCCTCCGCCTGGACCGCCTCACTGCCCCCCACCCTGGGGCCCTGCACCGCTGGCCCTCACCCACCTCCTCCCCTTGCTTCCCCAGACTGTGGTGCTCCTGGGCCTGCGGTACCTGCAGACGGCGCTGGAGGGGCTTGGAGGAGTCATCGATGGGGAAGGGGATGCCCAGGGCTATCTCCTTCCCGGGGGGCTGAGGCACAGGCTGAAGATGGCCTGGCTGCAGGGAGGGGCTGCCCGCAGGCCAGCACCGGGGGAGGCCCCTCCCGAAGAGGCACCGCCCACAGAGGACCCACCTGAGGCCTAGTGGCCTGGAGCTGGGGTTGGGGTCGGGCAGAGGGGAGAAGGGCCCATGGTGAGGGGGAGGGATCAGAATGAAGAACAATTAGCAAGCTGGACAGGGCAGGAGAAAAAAATGAGGGTCCGAGGGCCTAGCCCCTGTGGCCAGAACAGCCCAGAAACAGAACCCCCAGCGTGGTGGGAAGCGGCACAGGAAGGGCTGGAGACACTGCCCTGCGGACTCAAGGAAGCTTCTGGGCTGAAGCCGCTGGTCCCCTCCTCCGGGGGTGCTCCTGAGAGCACGGTTTCTGTCTGAGAGAAGCCAGGCCAGGGTTTGACCCGGTGAGAATCAGAATGCGAGGCGCAGACTAATAAAACGCAGAAGATGAGAGGCCCCTCGGGTGGAGACTTTTTATTCCGGAGGTAGGAGGGGTCAGCATGCTCAGGTGGGGAGGGTCCAGCCCAGCTCCTCCAGCCCCACCCCCGCCCCCTGCATGCCCAGCCCCAATAAGTTACCCAGTTACTCAGCGGCCCTCCCTCCTGAGTCCGTCTGTCCTCCTGCTCCGCCCCAGACAGGGCTGACCCGGCTCAATACAAGGGCTGTTTGTCCCCAGCTGTGGGCAGTGCCACAGGGCGGGCTGGGGGAGGGGGAGCAGCTGGGCTGAAATGGCAGAGGGGCCGCCCCGCCCCTGGCGCTGAGGGGTCGGGGCGTGGAGGACCGCGCCCGGCCCCACAGGCCTGTGGGAAACGGTCGTCGGGCGGGGCGCCCGTCACACCTCCACGGCGGGGTCTGAGCCCTGGCCCTGCCGCTGCAGCTGCTCCTCCTGCTTCATCTTGGGCTTCTCCGTCCGCGTGTGCCACACCAGAACCTGTCCGGGGCATCCCATTAGAGCCCGCAGTGTAGACCGGAGTCTCCAACCCCCTCTCCACACAGGGGAGCCTCGGGCTCTGAAGTGGGGCCTTAACCCCTTAACCTCTGTGGGCCGTCAGGTGCCCGGGCCGCGGGGAGACAGAGTGGCAGGACCCCACTTTCCTTCTCTGGCTCCCACGGCCTTCAGGAGCGTAAGCAAGGTGGGAGCTGAGTTCCGGAGGGTCCCTCCTGCCCAAACACCTGCCCTGTGATCCTCACCCCCCTTCTCCCGCCCCCCGTCCCCCCAGCGCTGCGGGCCCACCTCCCTCCTCTTACCCGGGTGCAGTTGGCAGCCCGTGGCTCCAGGTCCTTGGGGTCCACCAGGTGGCTCAGGAGGCTGCTCTCCAGGTGGCCCCGGGGAGCGGTGGCGTCAAACTGGGCATCGGGCTTAGCCAGCAGCAAGGGCAGGGCCACGGCAAATCCCGCCATATCCACGGGGAAGGGCCGGTTGGGCTCCCACGCCGTGTGGAAGCCCACAACCCGGCCGTCCTGTACCCGCGGGCCCTCGAATCGCAGGCCGCCCACCAGCCCCACGGGCCACACGGAGACACCACGGGTCCAGCGCATCTGACAGTCAGGAGACAAGAAACAGACGGTGGCCCAGGGCACAGGCAGCAGCAGAAGGACCACCTGGGTCCTCTGCTCCATGTCCCCCCTTCTCCCCCAACAGCCCAGACTCAGCAACAGGGACGGCCAAGGCCACAGGGGAAGGTGCCCAGCGCCCCTTTCCCGGCCCCTCCCCGGGGCTCACCTCCTCAAAGAGTTCCCGGCTGTAGGTGTTGTCATCGTCGGCAAAGTACACAACCCCCCGGATCCCCGGGGGCGGAGGGTCCTTCTCCCCCCCCACAGCGCCCCCTCCACTCCGCAGCCAGTCCAGAGCCCGGTTCCGTTGCTCTACGCCGCGGGGGCGAACCCAGCCCGGCTCGCCCTCCCGGAGCCTCTGGGCCTTGGGCGTGAGGGCCGCCAAGTGCGTGAAGAGGAGGCCGGAGGCGGCCAGCAGCCTGGACACCAGCGGGGTGGGGCCCTCCGCGTCCTCCACCAGCAGCCAGTGCAGCCGGGGCACCAGGCTCAGGGTCTGCGACAGTCGCACCAGCTCGGCCTTCTGCACCAGCCTGGAGGGCGAGAGGCAGCAGCAGGGAGAGGGGAGGCATCAGCTGCCACTCCAGTCGGCAGACACAGCTTCTCCCGACCCCCTCCTGGCATCCCAGGGCCTTTCCCCAACTTCACACTGACGCTCACCTGCCCTGCCCTCCCCCTCATGTCTGCCACCCACCTGCACCCTGGGAGACAGTGGGGGAAGGAATGCCAGGTTTGTAATTAGGGGTGACATCGGGAAAAACGGCTCTCTCCCCCAGTCTGCAGTTTTCTGGGCTGTCACATGGGAATAACGGGACTCTACAAGGCTGTTGTGAAGATTAAAAAAGATAATGATTTCCTGAAACACCGGTGGGGCCAGGTGCTTTTCCTTCTGTGCTAGGGTTTCCAGGGACAGGGATTTAGGAGTATCCTGACCCACTCCTCGCCAGGGGTGATGGTTTGTCCTCCTTTAGACAAAGAACTGGGAGGTGGGGCCCAGTGTGTGTGTGCGCGTGTGAGTGAGTGTGTGTGGAGGGGGAGGTTCGAGAGCCGCCCGTGCCTAGATGGCTCAACCATCTGATTCCAGGGAGCAATTAGCAGGCCCGTTGGCGGCAGATCCAAAACCACAGTTTCCCACTTGCTCCGTATGAGTAATAAAGGCTCCATTTTAATTAAAAACAAATGAAGCACAGCACTGAGCCCTGCAACTTCGATGCGATTCCTGGTCAGGGCACATGTCCGGGCTGCAGGCCCTTCGGTGCCTGCCTGACACTTCAACCAGCGGAGCCACACCAGCCAGGGCAGGACCAAGCCCTTGTCTACTTCAGGCTAGACAGGGGTTCTCAAACTTTCTCACCAAAGGATCCCTAAGGAGAGAGAGTGCACTCCGTGGCAAGCTCCAAATTGCTTTGAAATGATATTGTTCTCTCTTAACATTTCTCAGGGATTTTGTATGCTACTTCATCGTACACCCCTATCTCTTTGAGTAGAAAAGAACCATTTTCCCACACGTTTCTGAGTCAAGATGTGGTTCATTTCTCCTGTCACTTGGCATGCTCTAGCTTGAGAAACATCCCCTGGCCCAATGCCTCCCCCAAATCCTCTCCATCAACCCCAACCTCTTGGCAAGACTCTCAGGTGCCCCAGAGCCCATACCTGGCATAGGTGGGGGTAACAACATAGATAGTAGGCAGGGCCTCAGGCTCAGGGGGCTGGGCAGGGGCCGGGGCCGGGCGATGGAGATCAGCTTGCAGCTGGGAAATCCTCAGATCCTTCTGCCGGAGCTGCTCTGCTGCTGCCCGCAGCGGCGGGAGGCAGTCACATGGCTGGCCTGGTCCCAGTAAGCGGGGCAGGGGCAGAGAACGGAAGCACAGTCAGTATCCCAAAGGCCCATCGTGTCATCCCTCCAGCCAGTGCAGGCATCGCCTTACAGCTTCCCAGACAGACAGCCTTCTGCACCTCCGGGGTGGGAACTCTGTCAGCACCCCCTCTGCAGCTGCCAGAAACCCCATCTGTCACCGTTTCATTGGGATGCTGAGCTGATTATCTGCCTCCATCCCTTCTCCCGGCTGGTTCCAATGTTGCCTTCTGGAGTCATAAAGAGGTCTGTCTCCCTGACCCAGGACAGTCTCAAATACCTGAGGGTCAGCGGTGGCCCTGCCTGGAAATCCCTCCGCGGGGTTAAACTGACCAGTTCCGTTATGGGACAGTTTTTATGGAGTGCTCCTCCCGGGAGCAGCTGCCCGGGGGCCGGGGATGCCTCAGGGAACAAGGCGGGCATGCTCCCTGCAGGAGGCGGCCACTGAGCAAAGAACACTGCCAACTGTGACCGGGCCTGGAGGAGGCGGGCCGTTAGAGCGGGAGAGAGAACCAGAAAACAAGCAGCAGCGTTCGCTCCGCGGGGCCAGGGAAGGCCCTGAGGCGGGGACCCCTGCGCGGAGCCTGCGGGCTGCGCAGGCGGGAGGCCCCGCAGGAGAGGGAGCGGGCTGACAGCTGGCAGAGCTCGGGGCGTGCGGGTTCGGAAACTGTCACCCGCCGGTGAGGCCGGGCGAGAGGGTTAGGAAACGGGGTGACCGCGCGGGGCCCTGGACGCCGAGAAGGAGCCTGGATGGTATCCGGGGTGCTTCCAGCGAGGGGCCTGCGCCCGGCGGCCGCGGAGGGGGGTGCAGGGCCGCGCCGGGAGAAGGGGGCCCGCACCCGCTCACCCCCAGGCGGGGAGCTCCCGCCCGCCCCGCCGCTCACCGAGCTGCACCAGCGCGTAGAGGAGGCCGGCGATCGACACCAGGAAGTAGACGAGAAACACGTTCTTCAGCTTCAGCTTCATGGCCGAGCCGCCGCCGCCGGCGACCGGGCAGGCGGGGTCCCGCAGGGCCAGGGGGTCCCGCAGGGCCAGGGGGTCCCGCCCCCGCCGGACAGCCTGCAGGCCCCGCCCCGGCAGCGGCTCCGCCCCGCGGCCCGCCCACCCCGCGCTCCCCGCGACCCGCTCCCGGGAACTGGGGCTGGGGAGCCGGCCCGCGCCCACATCCGGTCAGTCTGGAACACCCGCACTCTCCCGGGTTCACTTCCGGTCCCACCGCCGGGTTCTGGGAACCGCGGGCGTCGCTGACGTCACATCCGGCGTGTGGAGCTGTCAGAAGCCGGTGAGAGCACGTGGGCGGGACTTCGAGGCCTTCCCCTGAACGGCCGCCCTGCGCCCGGCTTTTCCCCTCTCATTCGCAGCCACGGACACCTGCCGCGGAGCGATGGACATGCAGTGATGGACATGTCTTGTGCTCTAGATCCGTCTCCCATGATCCTCGCTATGATCTTAGGAGAGACATGGTATTTTCCCAATTCATAGATACGCAACGAGGATTGCCAAAAGTTACGCGTCACCATAAGAAACATCCAGGCCTGCAGAGAAGTGTTGTGAGTTGATTTGAGCCAAACTGTCCACAGTTGCCAGGAGGCAACATTTCCATGAATTGAGAAAATGCTCCAGAGAACGGCAGCCTTGCATCTTGTTTTATACATCCCTGTCAGAAGAGAGGACATAAGGGGGTTACCTGAAACCTACTGCTGATAGAGCAGGGAGGCAGGAGAAAGCAAGATGAGGAAACCTGTGGGATTGAATAAAAAGTGAAATGATAGCCCAGCTGGTTTGGCTCAGGGGATAGAGCATTGGCCTGTGGACTGAAAGGTCCCAGGTTCAATTCCCAGTCAAGGGCATGTACCTTGGTTGCAGGCCCATCCCCAGTGGAGGGCATGCAGGAGGCAGCTGATTGATGATTCTCTCTCATCCATGTTTCTATTTCTCTATCCCTCTCCCTTCCTCTCTGTGAAAAATCAATAAAATATGTGGGGGTTTTTTAAAGTAAAATGGTAGCCGAGACTGGTTTGGCTCAGGAGTAGAGCGTCGGTTTGGGGACTGAAAGGTCCCGGGTTCGATTCCGGTCAAGGGCATGTACGTTGGTTGCGAGCACATTCCTGGTGGGGGGTGTGAGGAGGCGGCTGGTTGATGCTTCTCTCTCATCCACGTTTCTGGCTCTCTATCTCTCTCCCTTCCACTCTGTAAAAAATCAATAAAATATATATTTTTAAATGTTATTAAAAAAAAGTAAAATGATAGACACATACTTGTTTTACAGGATATTTAATAGTCAACCATTAACTCACTAACAATGAGTGATTTCCACTCTGGTTCAGTGCCTGTGCTTGGAGGGCTGGGGGGGAAAGAAAATTACTTTGACATTCCAAAGGTGTGTTATCTAGATGCAAAAGCCAACAGACAAGGCTTAATGAAGGTGAAAATGGAACTCTGTCAGGGACATGGCCTCCCACCATAATAAACTTTTAGTTAAGTTTTCATTTCAGACCATCTTGTGTGATTACGTCAGGCCTCTGTGTGTGTAAGGTACCACACAGCCTTCCCTGAGCGAGCTGGGTGTAATATGGAGCCTCTTTCCGTCCATATATGTCATCGCCCCTGTGCCGTTTGCTACAGCCTTTCTGGGTACATGATTCCAGGTATCCTCTGACGCCCGTTTCTCAGGTGATGATGGGGATTAATGGGGGGAGGCAGTGGGCTGTCTCCCAGGCAATTGAGTGAAATATTTCCTGAGTTGAGGAATTTCATAAACACATCCTCTAACTCCTGAAATGAAGCAGTTTTGCCACCCAAAATATGCCTTTTGGGGATATTATTTTTAATTATTTTTAAGAAATGACTCAAGCCCAGCCGGCATGGCTCAGTGGTTGAGCATCGGCCTGTGAACCAGGAGATCAGGATATGATTCTGGGTCAGGGCACATGCCGGGGTTGCAGACTCAATGCCTTGTGTGGGGCATAGTGCAGAAGGCAGCTGATCAGTGATTCATTCTCTCTCATCATTGATGTTTCTCTCTCCCCCCTCTCCCTTCCTCTCTGAAATCAACAGAAAAATATTTTTTAAAAAATGACTCCAGCCCTTGCTGGTTTGGCTCAGTGGATAGAGCTTCAGCCTGTGGACTGAAGGGTCCTGGGTTCGATTCTGACCAAGGGCACATGCCCGGATTGTGGGCTTGATCCTCAGTGGGGGGCATGCAGGAGGCAGCCAAACAATGGTTCTCTCTCATCATTGATGTTTCTATCTCTCTATCCCTCTCCTTTTCTCTCTGAAATCAACAAATATATAAATTTTTAAAAAGACTCCAGAAGAGCCTTTTACCTCCCCCTGACTTGCTGAAGGAATTCAGAGACAGAAAAACCTGCCTAAAGAAAGAGAGCCGTCACCTTAGGGTCCTAAGGAAGAATGGCAGTGTGTTAGACTCCCCTCTGGCTCCCATTGTTTCTTGGGTGGCCAGGCAAGAATTTGTTTACCAAATGTTTGCTCCTTCTCACCCGCCTGTGAATTGCCTCCTTTCCCTTTGAAGTCCCAGGTCCTGCCTTGGTGGCCTGTGGTCTGGGGCATGTGAACCTTACCTGCCTGATTTGTCCTCAGTCCCATATTCTCACAGACCTGAAGATTATTTCCTCCTAATAATCTCATTCAGTTCATTTAAAATGTCAGAAATTAGAAGTGTAAAAGAAAAGTTATTTCCCCTCCCCACACTCATTAGGTACAAATCATCCTAAGCAGTCATTTTCCCTTAAAAAGCAAACCAGTTTTTAAAAAATATATTTTATTAATTTTTTTACATAGAGGGAGATGTAGAGAGTTAGAAACATCAATGAAAGAAACACCAATCGGCTGCCTCCTGCATACCCCCGACTGGGGATATGCCTGCAACCAAGGCACATGCCCTTGACGGAATCGAACCTGGGACCATTCAGTCCTCAGGCCAATGCTTTATCCACTGAGCAAAACTGGCCAGGGCCAAACTAGTTTTCTTATAAAATCATCTCTAAGACTTCTGAACTGTCTACAAAATGGAGAACTACTTCCCGTCACTAAAACAGTGGGGAAATTTTTAAAAGCTGCTAAAGAGAAGCAGCCTTTAGTGTGAGAACATCGGGTCATATAGCTATTTCTCTTCAAGAGGGATCCCAGTAGCTCTGGTCACTACTATTAAATGGACCTACCAAAATCTTGTCCTCAAAAAACATCCAAACCTGCAGAGAACTTGTTTAGTTTATGTGAGCCAAACTGAGGACAAATACCAGGAAGCAAGTCCTCAAATGCCCTGGAGAATGGCAGTTTGGAGTTTATTTTATAATTAAAATCAAAGGCATAAAGAAGGTGCAGGTGGTAGATTAGGGAGAAAGCATAGCAGGGAAGTACCTAGCATGGGTAAGAGGCAAAATGGAGAGGCACACACTGGTTTACACTGGTGGGCAAAGACAGTTAATAAGGAAGATTTATGGCACCTAGAGACAGGATGCAAGGAACACGTTCCCAATGAGGGGCTCACGCTCCGGTGGTCCTGTGTCTGGGCCTGTGACTGCGCCTTCCAGGGTTAGGAAAAGAAAATTACTCTGACATTCCCTATGGTTCAGGCCAGAACTAGAATCCAGGCACCAACCACTATTTATTGTTCATCTCTTTTTTTTTTTTAATATATTTTTATTGATTTTGTACAGAGAGGAAGGGAGAGAGATAGTTAGAAACATCGATGAGAGAGAGTCATCGATCAGCTGCCTCTTGCACACTCCCTACTGGGGATATGCCTGCAACCGAGGTACATGCCCTTGACCGGAATCGAACCCAGGACCCTTAAGTCCCCAAGCCGACGCTCTATCCATTGAGCCAAACCGGTCTCGGCTATTGTTCATCTCTTTATCCGCCCTGGCCAGCGTCGCCGTTAGTTGGGCAACCTCCCATGCACCAAAAGGCTGCCGGTTCCATTCCCAGCACATGCCCTGGTTGCTGACTCAATCCCTGGTAAGGGGTGTGCAGGAGGCAGCCGACTGATGGGAAGTTTCTCTTTCTCCCTCTCCTCCAAGGGTGTGTTATCTTAGAGAGCCCTGGCTGGTGGGTCAGTTGGTTGGAGCATCATCCCATGCACCAAATGCTGCAGGTTCAATTTCCAGTCAGGACACTGACCTAGGCTGGGAGTTCAATTCCCTATCGGGATGTATGTGTGTGTGTGTGTGTGCAATCAATATTTCTGTCTCTCCCTTCTTTTCTCTAGAAGTTGATGGAAACATTCTCCTGGTAATTTTAAAAATTAAAAAGACAAAGCTCACATATAGACTGACCTTTGCTAAGGAAGATCTAGACCTAAGATGCATTATTTATCTTATGACTTCAGAGAGGAAGGGAGAGGAAGAACAGAACATCAATGAGAGAGAATCATTGATTGGCTGCCTCCTGCACAACCTCCACCGGGGTTGGTGCCTGTAACCCCGACATGTGCCCTGCCTGACGGGGAATTGAACCGTGACCTCCTGGTTCATAGTCTGAGCCGTGCCGGCTGGACCTGTGGTAACTTTTGGCTGCTGAGCCTGTCAGGCCTGCCAGGTGGCCTTCCGGAGCGCAGCAGGCTCATTGCGTCACCGCTTTCTCAGTCACAATCCGATGGCCTCATGGGGCTCCTCTAGGACAATGTTGGCACCTAGCGAACTGAGACAGGCTTGCTCTCTTCACTTTTCTGAATGAACAAGGCTTATGCTGAGGCTACATACAATGTCAGGCCTATAGGCTTCTAAGGGCCTATAGTTCAGGCCAGAACTAGAATCCAGACACCAACCGCTATTTATCGTTTATCTCTTTATTGTTTCTCCTTTTATCAAAACCTGTCACAGCTGGGGGCCCAGAGGAAGTAAAAAAAATTTGTCACAAATCTGTATGTCCCCTCATCCCCAGTTAGTCCTCCCTCACTCCCCACCCCCCATCCAGGGCCTCGGGCCAACCCCGAGCACACATGATCATCTCCCCCCACCCCCCAGCCTTCTCCCAGCAATAAATACAGGTGACTGTGATTCAATGAAACCACAACTGATTTCTCCATCTTGAATGCCCCTCAAGGGGACAAAAAGGGGACAAAATAAGTGTAATGCCCACCCCCACTTAAGAAGTGGAAACTTCTCTCCCCTAAGGACAGGGGGCAGAGCTGCCCCCGTCAGAGCTGCAGCAGCTCCGGAAGGAACGGGAAAGAGGCAAGGTTGGAAGCAGCGGGAAGAGAGGTTGGAAGCAGCGGGAAGAGAGGGAAGAGGACGTTCTCCAGAAACCTCACGCCTTTGATCACTCAGCCTCACCAGGAAGGGTGGTCCCCGGGTCTCAGGGGGACACAGAAAGGGGAGGGCTGACAGAAGAGGCAGGAGGAAGGAAGAAATAAGGAGGGACAGCGGCCTGGGAGGAGGAAGCAGTCGGAGAAAAGGAGCCCTAAAGCTCACTGCCTTCAACTTCTTCCAAGGAATGGCATCAAAACCCCGAGACAGGAGTGGAGAGGGTCTGGGGGTCCAGGACGCCCAGAAGGGAGGAGAAGGGAAAGCAAGGGTCCTGTGGTCCCAGGTCTTCACAGGTACATGTGCCCCAGACAGAGCAGAGCAACAGAGTGCTGGGGTGAAGGCAGGCTCGGGGGACTTGGGGGGGGGGGGGTATTCACAGCAGACAGCCCTCTCCTCCTGCCAGGTGCTGGCAGAACCTGGGTCCTGGGATAGGAACAGAGATGTCTGGGGAAGGTCAAGCTCCAAGGCGGAAGGAACAGGAACTCACATCACAACAGCACCCCTCCCCCAGCACCCCTTGGGTTATCGCAGGTGAATGCTCCAGTCGGAGGCTACGTTGACGCCAGGCTTGCGCAGGATCAGCACAGAAGTCTCGGGGTCGTGCTGGAAGGACAGGCGGGTCTCGGGAGATCCTGGTGGAGGAAGACAGGGTCGTCGTCATAGCGATAAACTCACACATACCCACTCCTTTGCTACGACAGGGTGTCCCCAGCCTGGCCTCCCCTCTCCTCACCTTTGGTCTGGAGCACCACGGCTGCTGGCTTCCCAGCCCCCATGATCACCACCCGCTCAATCCAGATCGGGGTCTCAAAGTGGCCTTTCGGGTCTGCTGAGCTGGAGGGAGGGAGACAGGAGTATAATCAGGGAGAAAGACGTCCGAGTAGGAGGAAGGAGGTGCACCACAGCAAGAAAAGGGCCCGATGAGCTGTGAGCACCCGAGGCCCAGCCGCCCCAGAAGCTGCCCAGGCAGAGGGCGCCTCATTACCTGGAGACAAGGGCGTTGCCAGAGAATGAGAATCGACGCAGCAGGAACTCGTGCCGAGTCTGGTAGTTGAACGTGTGCCCGTCGTCTAGAAAGAGCTCTCCTTGGGCTGTGCCCTGCGGAGGAAGTGGGACTGTGAGAGCTGAGCCAGGCGGGAGCGAGGGTCATCCATCCCGGGGACTGCCATGCCTCACCTGCGGGCTGAGTGCCACAAAGAGCGTGATGGGGTCATCCTTCATGCAGTCTGAAGCACGCCGCACGCGCATCCACCGGGGCACAATGGTCCCTCCGCGCTGGAACACGGGGATCTGGGGAAGGGCACAGCTGGATGAAGCTGGCTGCTGTCCACCCGGCCTTGCAGCATCTTGTGTTCGCACACAGGCATAAGCACATGCTGTCTCCCCTTCAGGAAGCCTCCAGGCAGCCGAGCTGGGGAGGCGGGCATACTCACACTGCTGAGAGTCACAGGCAGGTACAGGGTCTGCGGACCGTGATGTTTCTGGTAGCTCTGAACGTCATACCACACCTGTGGGCAACAAAGAGAGGATTTGGTCCCTCACCACACAGGGCCACCCTCTCAAGTACCCCATCCGGCCTCCCACCACACCCTTCCCTAACTCACCTCCCCTTGGCCAGGCAAATAGACCTGCACACCATGAGCCCCAGGGTCTGATACAGGGTGAACCAGCAACGCATCCCCTAAAACACACCAGAAATCCACTCAGAACTAGAGAGATCGGTTGCCAGACAGGGAGCACCACCAGCCTCCCTGCCTCCCTCCCGTGTTCACAGCCCTCCCCCACCAGCTGTGCTGCATTGCTCACCGAGCAGGAACTGGTCATCGATACTGAAGGTGCTCACATCCTGAGGATAATGTACCCACAGGGGCCTGGGAGGAGGAAGACAGGAAAGGAACACGCTTGTTTTGGCAGATGTCCAACACGCCACCCCGGCAGCTGATAAGAACAGCACAGGCGGGGGCGGGAGCTTGCAGCCAGCGTGCGGGGAGGACTTCAGCTCTGCACCCTCAGCTCTGCCTCGGCACGGAACTCCCTCGCCCCGCTCCCTGCTCCCCCTGCCGCCCCTCAAACTGCTCTGCATGCAGCCATCCAGCGGCCGCTTGGTGACCCTGGCCAGCAAGGCCCCCAAGACCAGGTCCTTTTCTCTTCATCTCATCTCCTCCCTCTCCTTCCGGTTCCTCCCCGGAGACATACTGCTTTTCCTAGTCCTGGAACACCCCGCACCCGTTTCCACGTTAGGACTCTGCACTTGGAGCCTCATCTGTTTGGAACTCTTCCTCTAGATCACAAAAGCCCATCCGAGTCCTCACCCAGGCCTCTCTCACATGGTCTTCTTCCCAAAAAGGCCACGAGTGGAACCTGGTTCCATATGCTCTTCTATTTTCCAAAGAGCTATCACTACACTGCTGGCAACTTTCTCATTTATGTATTTGTTTCCTCCCAAGAATAAACGTTCCTCAGCTAGGGCACTTGTCGGCCTCGATTCCGCGCTGGGGGTGGAGGTGAATAATGCCTCGCCTGTCGTAAGTACTCAATAATGTCCACTTCTAGCCGCTCCTATTGGCCCCTGCTTATGCTTGATCTTCCTTTGCAGAGCCTGGCGAGTGAGGAAAGGTGCAGAGATGGAGCCGTCCCAGCCAGCCCCTCAGCGGACGGGCAGAGCGGGCCTCACCTCATGACAGGAAACCCTTCGCGGTGGGCCTGGTAGAAGAGGGTGTACCAGAAAGGCAGCAGGGAGTATCGCTGGCCCAAGGCATCTCGGATGACGCCGTGGTACTGAGACGGTAACAGCCACGGCTCTCGCCGCCCAGTGTCCAAGTGGGCATGTGCCCGGAAGAATGGCTGGTAGGCACCCATCTGGTACCAGCGCACAAGCAGCTCTGGCTCCGGATTCTTGAAGAAGCCGCCCACATCAGCTGGCAGAGGAGAGGAAGTTGGAAAAGAGGGTGAAGGAGGGCAGCTGCCTAGGCGCGCCCCAAGGCCCCACGCTGGACTCTCAGCTCTCCATTCATGCCCAGGTCCTGTGCCCGCTACCTGCCCCCTCCCACCAAACCGAGGACCACCAATTCCCTCTCACCCCCACAGAAGGACAGCCCCACCAGCGCCAGGCTGAGGCACATGGGGATAGAGATCTTCAAGTGGTCCCAGTCAGCAGTGTTGTCCCCTGTCCACACGGCTCCTGGGGAAGACGAGAGGGAGGGAGCTTGCAAACAAGAAGGGCTCAGCCTTTCAGCTGGCCTCTGACCTGCCACCTCAGCTCTGGCCCCAGGGTCCGGAAGAGGACAGTCACAAGAGCACGTGCATGGACACTCCTTCCTGGCTCCCTGAAGTGCAGAGCCGGAGGGTGCAGAAGGGAGCTCTCAGGGGACGGCTGCATGGACGGCTTTCCCTGAGAGCCAGGCCCGGGCCCACGGCTCCTCCCCCCTGGCCTCCCATCCTCTCCCTCAGCTCTACCCTCCGCGTCTTACCAAAGCGCTGGGAGCCAGCAAAGAACGCCCTGCTCAGGACAAAGGGGCGCTCCACACCCCCAGAGCGCTGCACCAGACCCTCAGCAGTCGCCATGTGCTGGTGAAGACAGGAGGGGGCAGTGAGCAGCAGCCAGCTGTCATCTGCTGCAAGTTCCCCAGCCCCAGTCCTCCGCTCCAGCCTCTTACCACGTAGAAGCCATAGATGTTGTGCACGTCTCGGTGCTCCCAGCCGCCGAAATGCTGGGCGTCCTTGAGCATGGTGACCTCAGGGCCATTGAACACAGAGGGTTCATTCATGTCATTCCAGACATAGAGGTTGGGAGCGGAGCCCTAAGAGCACAGGAAGAACATGGGGACAGGAGGGCAGAGGGGAGGAAGAAGACAGTGTCAGAGCAAAGAGCTCCTTGGAATCCAGAAAGATGCCTTTCTCAGGGAAATCAAGCCCCCGATACTATCGGCACCCCCCACACAGGTTAACAAGCAGAAAATGACCAACTCAAGGAGGTAGAGGAGGGGTGGGGGTGGGGTGGGGGGAGAGAGAGATGCAGGTCGAGAAAGAGGCCTGCCAAACCTTATAATCGTCGAAGTTGAACATGTCAGCCCACCAGGCCCTCATCCGGGGATTGGTGAAGTCGGGGTAACCAGCGGCGCCTAGAGATTAAGGGTGGCTGTTAACCCCAAGGGCCATAACGGTCACCATTCTACCTCCTTGGTCTCCTGACAGCCTCTCCCTCAATTCTGGGGCTGCATCCCTACCTGGCCAGCACCAGCCCTCATAGTCAGAGCCATCCCGAGTTTTAACATAGAGGCCCTGGCTCTGCAGCTCCTCGTGCACGCGGTAACCGGAGTCCACCTTGATGTGGGGGTCCACAATGGCGACCAGCTGGGAGCAAAGAACACGGGTGGTCAGTGCTCTCCGGGGCCGTGTCAGACGCCCAGCCATGGCCGCAGTCCCCTTACCTTCCGCCTCTTGGCTGCCAGCTTCTCCAGCATGGCGAGGGGCTGGGGGAAGTGGCTGGGGTCCCAGGTGAAGTACCGCTTGCCGTCCGCGTGCTCGATGTCCAGCCAGATGACGTCGCAGGGCAGGTCGTGGTCATCGAAGCCCTGGTTGACCGCCAGCACGTCGGCCTCGTCCCGGTAGTTCCAGCGGCTCTGGTGGTAGCCGAGGGAGAAGAGCGGGGGCAAGGCCTGGGTGCCTGCAGGTTCAGCGAGGGACGGGGGTCACAATGGAACCAGCCAGCCTGGGGCTTCTGGGGACACCGGAAACGGAGGGAGGCTTGTACACCAAAGGGGGACTGCAGGGCACAGGGCTTCTGAAGAGGCACTCCTCTCCGAAGACCAAGGCCGCAGCTGCCTCTGCGCAGCGTGGGGCCGCGTACCGGTGAGGCTGGCGTACTGCCGGAAGACGTCAGAGACAGAGGGCCCCAGCAGCAGGAAGACATCGATGATGCCGCTCTCCGACATCCAGCGGACATCTGTCTGCGGGGTTTCCCCGGAGCCCTGCAGGTAGTCTAGCATCTTCCCAAACAGGGTCTGCAGAGGGGACCAGAGAGAAGTTCCCCAATGTTTTCCTCCAAGCCCTCACGCTGGCTCCTAAGCAGTCCACTGAGCTGAGACTACATGTCCCTCCCAGTGAGGCTTTCCCGGGGCACCACTTGGGGCGCTGCTGCCCCACGCCCACCCCGCGACTGCTGCTCGTCTTCCTCACGTCTGCTGTCTCTGTGTCTGTCTAACAGCGCTTCCGCCCTGAGCCCCTGAGCGGAGGCCCTTTCCTACCTCAGTGAGCAGTGCTGCCCCAGCACCCAGAGCACCCGCCCATAACATAGTGACAAGAAACGCATGAGTGTGCCTTCTGCAAGTGGCAGGCACTCAAGGCCCAGGCCCCCTCTCCCACCCAACCCCAGACGGCCTAGCCCACCAGCCTCTTCCAAGCTCATGCCAGCACACTGCCTCTAGGCCTGACCGCGCCTCTCCATGGCCCCGTGCGCGCTCACCTTCCCGGCCGTGTTGGAGGAGATGTCCACCCACGTCTCGGCGGCGTTGAGCCAGAAGATGCCCAGGTCGCGATGAGGACTGTGCGCCAGGAGCACAGGCACAGACCCGTACAGGGCCATGGGGTTGTACAGCTCGTACTGGAACACATCCAAATTGTAGAGGCGATATGGCTCCCCACCCCTGCAGGCAGACAGACAGACTGGCCCCAGGCCCTGGCGCACACAGCCGCCACCCATCCCACAGACACGGTCAGGGGTAAGACACGGCCCCTGCCCTTTATCAAAGAAGAACCTTCCAGTGATAAAGGTGATCTGGGCACAGGGAGTGACCCATGCCTGACTGACATATCCAATCTGCATGCACACTGTCCATCTTCCCACTCCTGTGCCCACATCCTGAGCCAGCATGGACTCACTCAGTGACCTTCAGCCTCAGGCTGTCTGCATGCTCAGGGATCCCATACACATGCTCCATGCCCGGCAGCGAGAAGTCCAAGCCCACAGACGTGGGGCCTGGAAGAAAAGCAAAGGGGGCGCTCAGGGCTGCTGCCCCGCGAGGACGCCCGTGCCCCTGCCCAGGCGCTCCGCCCCTCACCGTACGGCTTGCTGTCAGAGTGCGTTTTGAACGTCTCCTCCCAGGCTCCCGGCTCCTCTTTCTCTGTGCTTCCCGGGGTCTCCTCTGGCTGTGAGGGAGAAAGCAGACCACTGCCATCACACAGCGGCTCTCTCCTCCCCGCCCACTTCCTCAGTCCCGCCCCTGACAGCAAGCATGGGCTATCATGTGGGACTTTCCCCTCCGACCTCCCAGCCAGCCCTGTGCGCCAACCACTCAGCCCCACACACTTGCCTTGTCCCCATCCCCAGGGGCTCCCTCGGGCTGGGCGCCATCGCCCTCAGCGGGATCTTTCGATTCTGGCCTGGAAGGTAGGAGAGCTGTCTGCTCCAATCCAGAGGGGGCAGGGACGAGGGGCTAGTGGAAGGAGGGGTGAGGGAGTAGAGAGCCAAGGGTCCAAAGGAACGAAGGCATTGGAGGAGGGACTGAATGGTTAGGCTAGGAGAGGGACCCCAGTGAACACGTAAGTGTCCACAGGACAATGAGGGATAAGGCCACCAGGAGGTGTTCCCACAGTGGCCCAATGGCCTGGGTTCGGAATGCCAGTCCTGGCTCTGCTGTCTCCTGGGAAACTCTGGCCCCAAATGCCCTTGCTGGGCCTCAGCCTGCTGGCCTGGCACAGAGTTTTGCAAAGGCCAGTGGGTCACACCATGACCAAGCCTCTACGGATACATGCGGGGACTCACACAGAGGTGTGCCAAAGACTGCTGGCAAGGGCAGCTGGCAAGCAGCTCTGCTCAGAGCCTAGTGAGCCCCCTCTGAGCGCCAGGAACCCCAGCAACAGGCAGCATCTCTCCAGCCCTTGGCAAAGCAAGAAGCGCCCTACATTCCTGAGGAGCTTCCAATATTTCATCTTCCTCCTCCCAGTCAGGAGAACTGGGACCAGGGACCACATAGCTGGAGAGAAAGAGGTGAGTGAAGGGCAGGGCACGGAAGGGTGTGGGGCACCTTCCCTTGGGGGTCAGCGTGAAGGGTGGGTGAAGGCAGAGGAACACATACAGTACCAATGGCCATGGATTTACCTAGAGAAAATGTTCTTGATCTTATCCCAAATGCTACCGAGCGTGACACTAACTTTATCCGAGAAACTAGGGCGGGAGGAGATGGGTAGGGAAGGGAAAAAGGAGGCACAAAACCAACACAAAAACAGAAACATAAAAGTGAGTTTCAGTTGACAAACTTCCAGACGGGGGGAGGGGGAGAGGAAGAAAATAAATCTGGGAAATGGGATGGCATGAGAAGGGGAAAAGGGAAAGGCAGACCCAGGCAGGCCTCTCAGAGGAGGGGCCTGAGGTGCAGCTCAGGCACAGAGTGACTGCCTCCTGGTCTTCAGAGGAAGTGAAGAACACTGACCTGGCCTGCTTCCTAGCTCCTCTGACAGACACTTCCCCCAGCCCTCAGCCCCTACCTGACTGTCCTGCCACCCTGTCTTCCCCAGGGACCCAGGGCCAGACCCCATAACACCCTTAGGCCCTTTCAGCTAGGTGGCCTTCAGTCCCCACCCGGTACTCACGAGACCCGGGGGGCCCGCTGGTGCTCAAAGCCCAGGAGTCCGCGGGCGTTGACGCTGAGCAGAAGGCTGCGGTCCTCCAGCAGGTCCAGGCGGAAGGGCCGTGCTGTCAGGATGATTTTATAGGGCCCCTCGGCCACGGTCAGCTCCACGCTGTTGTCGTCTCGGCCAGAGACGGAAAGCCTGGAAAGATCATCAAAGGGGATATGAACAAGGACAAAGGACCAAGACCGGAGCTGCGGCACTTCAGAAGGGGGCGGCGGGTCCAATGCGGATCAGGGCGCACCCCACGCTGCCGGTGGGAGTGTAGCCGGTAAGCCTTAGGGCGCTATCTTAGAGAGCTGGTCAGCTCCACGTTCCACAGCTTTGCAGCTCCCTCCTAGCCATGACTGAAGGGAAACTTGCCAGGGACCCAGGAGACCCGGACAACAATGTTCATGCAACACTGCAAACAACTACAATGTTCAACACAAAGACGATAGATAAGCTGGGATAGAATCATAAAACATAATCAGCAGGAAAAAAATGAACTACGTGTAACAGAGTTAAATAAAGTTATGTGAGCCCCAGCTGGTTTGGCTCAGTGGATAGAGCATCGGCCCGCAGATCGAAGGGTCCCAGGTTCGATTCTGATCAAGGGCACATGCCCAGGTTGTGGGCTTGATCCCCAGTAAGGGGGGATGCAGGAGGCAGCCAATCAATGATTCTCTTTCATCATTGATGTTTCTATCTCTCCCTCTCCCTTTCTCTCTGAAATAAAAATATATTTTAAAATAAATAGTTACGTGAAAAGAGAAAATCCCAGAAGATATTCATTGAGATGAATGTCCTTATAAAGCTTCAGAAATGAACAAAACCATGTAACTTATTGCTTAGGCACAGACACATAATGTATTTATGTGCTTATGTGCATACATGACACACTGCAAGAACACAAAGCCACAGGACTGAGCGACTTCAGAATCACAATGTAACGGGGAGTCAGGGGTACGGGACAAAGAGAGGCATATGGGTGGCTGGGTGAAGGATTTGCTAGCTTCTAAGTCAAACATTTAAGCCCGGCAGGTGTGTCTCAGTGGGTGAGTGCTGACTATGAACCAGGAGGTCATGGTTTGATTCCCAGTCAGAGCACATGTTCAGGTTTCGGGCTCAATCCCCAGTGGGAGCCGAGAAGGAAGAAGCTGATTGATGATTCTCTCTCATCATTGATATTTCTCTCTCCCCCCCCCCACTTCCCTTCCTCTCTGAAATAAGTAAGATGTGTGTGTGTGCGTGTATTTTTTTCTTTAAGTGAAAGAGAAAATAAGTGAAACAAAAAGAGACAGGGAAAGTTGAGGAGTGTGGCAAGGTGCTCGCCAGCTATCATCCCAACATAAGAAAGGTCCATTGCCAAGTGACATTTCTCAGGAAGGAGAACAGGGCCCTGAGCATGGACAGGTTTTCTGAAAGGTTTACCGAGCTGTGGGGGGGTCAGCCACCAGCACATCCGGCACCCGGTATCGAGGCCGCCGGGGCTCCAGCTCATCGATCCTGACCCGCGTCATGTTCTTTTGCAGCCCCTGGAGCTCCAGCACCAGCAACACCTGGGTAAAGTGGAGGGAATGACCTCTGAACCCCCTTCCTCCTGAGGGGTCTCCCGCTTCTAGACCCTTTCACAAAGTGAAAGTCCCAAGATGGCTCGGACAGGATGCTGGCTGTAGGTCCCCCTTCCCGGATCCCCTCTTAGCCATTTCCCAGCCCCCACCAGAGTTCCTTTTCCCCCCTGACCTTGGTGACCTCGTTGATCAGATGGACTGTGAGGCCATCAGGACCAAGCTGCAGAGAATCCAACAAGGCTCGGTATGGAGAGTGGCCTGGCTGTATGTTTCGCTGTCGCCTGTCAAACGGAATGGTTAAGAAGGTGGGAGGGTACCCCAATGCCAATAAGCTCCCCATCACCTGCAGTGTCCCCAGGCTGCCCCATCTGCCACAGATACCACCTGTACTACCCAACCTCCCCCTCCCCTAGAATATCATACTTGCAGAAGGAACTTTCTTCACAGGTCTTGAAGTTGCTTCTATCCACGGCGAGGGTGAGTCCCAGGCAGACCCCTAGACAAGCCAGGACCAAACCGGTCCCAGACCTAAGGAGAAAAATGACAAAAGAGGGAACAATCAGTCTGGGCTCAGAAAGGGCCTCACTTGCAGGGGTAAAAGCCACAGTCCTAGAAGACAGCTCAGAAAAGAGGGGAAAAGATGGACATGAAGTTAAGTCGTCAGGCTGAGGAGTTAGCTCATTCACACCTTCCTTTAAAAAGAGAAAGAGCTAAGCAAATAAATTAAAAAAAAAAAAAAAAAAAAAAAAAAAGGCAGAGAGCCTGGCTCAGTGGTGGCTCTGTGGCTGAGCATCAACCTATAAACCAGGAGGTCACAATTCGATTACTGGTCAGGGCATATGTCCAGGTTGTAGGCTCAATCCCTGATTGTGCAAGAGGCAGCCAATCAATGATTCCCATCATTGATGTTTCTCTCTCTCTCCCTCTCCCTCTCCCTCTCTTCTCTCTTTCTCTCTCTCTCCCTTCCTCTGAAATCAATAAAAAAAACATTTAAATGCAGAAAATAAACAATTCAATGGTTTTTAGTAGCAAACAAACAAAAGGCAAAGGAAGTGGACCAAGGCTCTTGGGCCTTCAGAGGCCTTGGTACTGACTGCGGTTACATCAGCCTCAGAGCAGGGGCAGGAGCAGTTGCCCCAGGGGAAGTGGTGGCTCCTGTGTGTGGAAGAGGGCAACAAAGCAAGTCCTGCCTTTCCAGGGGAAGGCCCTGGGTGGGGCAACAGAGAAGACGTGAAAGATGTGCCTCAGCCAGCCTGCTCCTCACAGCGGCTAGGGTCCTAACACCTCCAATCTCCACTTCTTTATCTTCAAAGTCCCCACTGGCACCACCCACGTCTGGAAAGAACAGTGATAGCGAACTTGTATTGAATCTTCCTGGACCCCAGCAACCTGGCCAACTGCTTGCTCTCCCTGATTTGCAACTCTGCCTGCAGTTTTTTAAAATGTCAAGCGTTTCTTCCCTGGCGGGTAGCACAGGTCAGAGCGTCCCAATAAGCAAACGTTTCGAGTTTAATACCCTCATCAGCGCATGGACAAGAATCAACCAAATGGATTAGCATAATCAATGGACACAGACACTGGGGGGGGGGGGGCTTGCCCTTAGGGAGAGGGTGGGGGGGTCAATTGGGAAAAAAAGAGAAATATGTACTACTTTAAGCAAAAAAAAAAAAGAAAAAAAAAAGAACCAAATGAATGCATGAATAAGTGGACCAAGAAACCTGTTCCCTCCCCCACCCCTTTCTCAAATCAATTATAAATAAATAAATAAATAAAGCCTGGGTCTCACCCACAGTGATTCTGAACTATCTGGTTTGAAGAGGGGTCTGGGCATCAGAATTCTGTAAAAGCTCCCTAAGCAACTCCTTGGCGTCAGGGTTCAGATCCTTCTTTATCTACACTCCCTCCCTCCCTGCCGCTGTCCTCTTGGGGACTATAGGATTGAGACTTTTCCCAGACGGGAAAATTGAGGCATGAAAGGTTCAGTCATCCATCCAAGACGGAACAGCGAGTAAGGGGTTAAATGGGATTGCACGCATCTCTGCCTGACTCCAGGCCAACGTGCTCCATGCACATGCTCGCAGCACAGCACACGAACCTCCAGCAGGGCCTGCCCGTGAGGACCATCACCCCAAGGCCACAACAAACTACCCCTTTCCCACTGTAATACCGCAGGACAGACGAGGGATTTAACAAACTTATTTACCGAGTTCCTTTGAAGACTATAGTCACCCTACAGTTCTGGGTATATCCTAAATAGGGGTTCTCAACTATAGTGTCTTGCTTATGGAAGGAAGATTCTCAGCGGCTTAACCATGCTCGCCCTGTGATGGGGAAGTCCACATCGGGGAGAAAACCCCAAAACACAGGTTTCTCCTAAGCATGACAACTCTGCAGCCTGCTCACGGAGAAACCGGAGTAGGGCCTGTCCACACACTGTACCCAGCACCAGCCTCAGTGTCTGCCTGAAAGCTCAAGGGAACGAAAATCAGCAGGAAGGAGGTCACGGAACCCAGTAGGCCCTCCAGCGCCAGAAGCCAGGCCAGACGGGAAGTGGAGGCAAACACCAGGCGCTGTGGTTGAATATGCCAAGAGGAACAAGGAGTAGCAACCACGCAGAAATGCCACTAGACCCACCACTCAACAGCCAGACTCTTGGCCCAGGTCCGGAGGGACGGCACCAGCCACCCTGGCCCACGGCACCACATCCGCCTGCCTGGCGCAGCGGGAACCCACAGGAGAGGGGGCCTAAGACCCTCTGGTGTCCTCTGCGCACAGCCTGTGAAATGGGCCTGGCCAGGTGCCAATGGGGACAGGCTTCCTGAAAGATCGCTCCAATGTGACGTGTCGGGTGCCCTGAACGCCCCAGAGCCAGGGGTGGCCCAAAGGCCGAAATGAGGAGTGAGCAGCGGGCAGGTGGCACCCGTGGGCTGTTTCGGATCAGACTTCCAGAGAGTTGTGTGGATGACCCCCGCTTTCCTCACGCCGCTCAGCACCGGCCTCTCCCACCCCAGCACATCCGCTAGGTCCCGGTAAAGGCTTTGTGGACCCGGTGATTCTTTCGAACCGTTTGTTGTTTTTTTTCTTTCTTTCTTTCTGGTAACATACATTCGAGAGCGCAGACCAAACCCTTCGATTACATGTGGTGTTTGAGCAACATCATCCAGGCGGACTGTGAACTCGCGGGATCCTGCCCCCGCTGTGCCCGGTGAGCGTGGCCACCTGACCCGCCGCGCCGGTGCCCACGTGGAGGAGACCAGACGGGGCCGGGCAGGGGCTCTGCCGACGGGGAGGGCACGAAGGGGGCGCAGGCCGGACTGCCGGCTGCAAGCGGAGTTCCCGGAGGCCCGGCCACGTCTCGTCCCCGCCCTGATGGCCCGAGCCATGCACGGAAGCGGCAGCGTCCATCGCGGGGAGCCGCCAGGGAAGGGAGGCGGCGGAGAACGGCCAGAGCCGACAAGGGCGCACGGCTGCGGCCTTTCTGAGCCGCCGGAGCAAGGACCACAAGGACGGGCCCCCCAACGCCGCGCGGGTCTGCCGCGAGGAAGCGGGGGGCGCTCTTGGAGCAGCCTCCAGAGACAGGACGCCCTCGCGGCGCCGGGGGTGGCAGGGTCTCGGGAAGACAATCAGGAAGAAGAGATATGGGGCTTGGGGGGTGTGGGGGCGTCCCGGGCGCGCCACGGGTTCCGGACTCCTCACCGCCTCCTACGCGTAGCCACTGCCGCTACCGCCGCCATCTTGTGCCGGGTTTGCTCCTTGACCCCGAGCCTCCCCTCCCCCTGCGCGCGCGGAGCCACGTTCCTCAGCGCCCGCCCCTTCCGGCCTCAGGATTGGCCCGGCTGCGGGCGGCCGCGCCATTGGCGGACTCGCACTCTAAACGCCCACGGGGTGGGCGGGGCTTCGGGAAGGGGCGGGGCCTCAGGCCGGAGGCGGGATTGTCGGGCGCCTGCACTGTCCTATTCTGCCGGCTCTAAGCATCACGGAGGCACTGCACTCTGTTTGTCTCAAATCGGCAAATTTTATTTAGAAAAAAAGGGGGAAAAGTGACAGCGCTCTCTACGCTGAAGTCTCAGAAGAGAGACCTCCCTCTTTCTGCAGCACCTTAGCCCCGTCTCACTGCTCATACAGCCTCAGCCTCTAGCGCGAGGAAAAGGCTATGTGCCCTGCCGGAGTAGCGTGGACGGAGAAGCTGCCTGAAAACGGCCAGAGAAAAGGCCCAGGCGGTCAATGTTGCGGTGGAGGACACTATGCAGCACCGCCAGATGGGGTCCACCCTCCCCCCCACCCTCCCTGGAGAAGTCCCGGATGAAGCGTCCACGCTCTGACTGAAAGATAAACTTCTGGGGCAAGGGCCCATGCTCGCGTAGAAAGCCCCAGACACTGAGCAGTAGCAGACGCACTTCGAAAGGTGCCAGTTGGCTAAATACCTCGTGCATGTTACCCAGGGCTGGTGGCAAGAGGCTCCCCTCAGCCATGACAGCCACCAGGGTGCAGGATGCCTCCAGGTGCCAGGGGGAGTGGGCTGTATCAGGGTGGCGAGAGGCTTCCCAGTGGCCCAAGAGGGCGGCCAGCAGCCCCCGCAGGAGCACGGAGCAGTAGCAGAGGGCTGGGGGAGCAGCTGCTACCAGCTTTAAGAGCTCAAAGAGCAGGGGCTGTTCCCGGAAGCGCCGGCCAATGCGGAGATCCCGCTCCACGGTGGCCCGGGCGTGCTCCTCAGGAGGCCAGGCTAGCTCGGCACCAGCTGCATCAGGACACACGCTCTCCACCAAGGTCACTGCCACCGCTTTGGCAGCCTCCGGGCTCAGCGTGGGAGCCCCCCAGCAGCCCCGACCTTCACTGCCCCCAGAGGTACTGCAACAGTGCACCAGGAGGCTAAGAAGGCTCTGGGTGTTATAAATCACTTCCTGGTGGTTTCGTGACTGAGCAAACTTCGGTGGCTTTAGGCCACGACCGATGACTCCAGCATGGAAAACTGACCAAATCCCTCCGGGGCCTGGCACGGCTGCCGTGTGCCGCCGGTTTGTGTCCAACAGGGAGGCAGACGCCAAAGAAGCTGAAACCACGGAAACAGTCTCGCTGTCCTCATCCACTTCCCCTCCGAACAGTTCCGTGTTGCCCCGATGTAAGGCTCCTTCCACCAGCAGCTGCAGGACAGCCTTAAGCCCTGCAGGGGAGGTCTGAGAGAGGCGGGTTAGAAGTTGGGAGGCCGAAGCCACACCTGGGGGGCCATGCAGCCTCAGAGAGGCAAAAAAACGATGCACCCCAGCTCTTACCAGTCCCAGGAGCTGGGAGGGGGACAGGGCTTCTGGAGGAAAGGGACAAATGGCCAGGAGGGAGGCAGCAGCTTCCGCTACATCCTCCTCAGGATGCAGCAGGAGAGGAGCCAGGTCGGAGAGATGGGCGGAGGCGGACTCCCCAAACCGGGCTCCCAGGGCTGCAGGGCCCTCACCGCCCTGCTGCTCCCACCCCACCAGCAACGCCAAATTGCGCAGGAACCGCGCCGTGAAGGGAGGCTGCAAAGTCCCTGCGTGCACCCGAGCCAAGCAGCTTCGGAAGGCCAGCGGCAGGAGGCCCGCGAGGCTGACCACCAGCCCCGCGTACAGCTGGGTGGCCAAACTCAACTCTTCAGGGCTCCGGGCCCGGCTCAGGAGATGGCCCAAGGCCTCAGGTCCACAGCTAGGCCGAGTGTACACAGAGAGCAGTCCCAGGAGCTGGTGCTGCCAGAGGAAGCGCTTCCGTTCCAATCGCAATGTCTCTCCACACAGCTCTCCGACATGGTTTCTTAGCGCATCCAGAAAGGGCACGGGGCGGGGGGGTGGGGGCGGGCCCAGCACCCCTTCTCCAGGGGGCCCTCCCCGGTGATGAACCAGTTTTTGCAGATGTAGCAGCAGCAGCTGAATCAGCCGGTCACAAGCCTCACGCACGGTATCTGGCACAGCCAGGCCCTGGGTGGTAATGACTGAGGCGGGCATGGCCGTGTCCACCAGGAACTGCAACAGGCGGTAGGCACCTGCCCCCGAGGCCTGGCTCACCAGGTGCACAGCCAGGTTGAGCATGTTGTCCAGCTCCTCTCGTGGGAAGCCCTGCAGGTGTTGCTGAAGCTGACTCAGCACAGCTGGGGGCTTAAGGCAATCCACCAGCTCTCCAGAGACGGTGCCCAGCAGAGCTGGTGACATGACTGCCAGTTGCAGAAGGAAGGGAACTGTGGCCTGAAGGGAGGGGTCCCCACTCCGGCCCCCAATGCCCGCTGCCAGGCTATCATGGAACATTCGCAGAAGCTCCCGTCGGATGCTGTCTCCATGGCGGGAGGCCAGGTGCCCTAGGATGCCCACAACTGAGGCGATCTTGGGTACCCGCTTCTCCCCGGGGATAGCAGGAGATCCAGGGAAGGGGTCTGTAGAGGGCATTTGAGAAGAGCCTCCACCAGCGCCGCCAGCTCCACCTCCAGCCCCACCATGAACGCAGAAGTCCTTCAGGCCACAGGAAAGAACACGGGAGATGATGGTGCCAGGAAAAGAGGAGCCAATATGGGCCACCACCCAGTCAAAGTGTGGGGAATGCTGGACAGAGGTATCCAGCAAGGCATCCACGCAGGCATCGGGGCAGCTACCAATAAGAGCCGAGAGGCACTGAACGTAGATGTCCATGAGCGTGCGTGTGGCCCGACAGCCCATCCACAGCTGCAGCAATTCGTTGAGAGAGCCGGCGGCATGGGGAACACACTGGTGTTGGCCCGAGTATGCGCTGCTTAGTTGCCCCATGAGGTCAATGGACCATGCACTAATCACAGGTGCCCAGGCCTTCGGGTTGGCCCGGATAAACTCGGACAGCACCTGCTGTACCTCCTGAACCACATCCTCTAGACCAGGGCCCCCCGCGGGGACATGAGAGGGGGCAGGCGGGCGGAGGTGAGGTGGGCCAGCCAGAGGGCTTTCATCCAGAGCAGCCAGGTGGGCCCGGACACTTTCATCAAAGACGCCTCGCAAGTGGTCAAGCACGGCAGCCCGGGCAGGTGGCAAAGAGCGGAGCAGAAGGAGACCACAGCGAGCGTGCTCCCGGGCCGAGAGCTGGTGGCCCAGAATGGGGTCGACACCAGTCAGAAAAGCCTTGATTTCCTGGGACAGCTCCTGAGCACTGTAAGGAGACAAGAGACAGACTTAGTGTGTTGGAGATATTGGGCAAGATACATTCCCTCCGTGAGCTTGCTTTTTTGTGTAAAACAGGGATCACTGTAACCCCCTCAGAGATAATGTTCATAAAGCACTTAAGCACCATATCTATTTCACACTAACCACTCAGTAAACATTAGCTATTTTCCTTTCAATAATATCAATATTGTATTAGGTACTTTTTAAAAGTGCTTTACCTGTATTATTTCAATCCAGACAAGAGCCCAATAAGGTAAGTATTATTATGATCCCATTTTACAGCTAAGGAAACCAAGGTTAAGTGATCAGATTAGAAGCTTCAAGAGGGTAGTAGCCATTTCTGTGCTCTTCAATACTAAATCTCCTTCAATGGAGGCGCCTGGTACATAGGAAGTACTCAATAAATTGTTGTTCAACTGAGTATATTTAAAACACATTTCCAATTTTACTGCATTTTCCACCACAACACAGCACCCTGGATTTTACTCTTAATGGGAAGAAAATCTCCCTCCCAATAACGGTTTCTTCCCATATTCCGCCAACATCCTAACCACCCACCACTTGGATTCCACACACACAACCACCACTTCTCCCAGCACCCTCCAGGTGCCTAGGAACCAAGGTGTTCCAGGGCACAGACTAAACACCTTTCAACCCTCCCCCTCCCAAAACATTATGGGTTCAGTCTCAGAGGTTCAGTGTTAAGACAACCCTTCCTCTTACTGCCCTTTTTGCCAAAGAAGACTGCATCCCCTAGGGTTCTGACTGTGCCATTCCTCTCTGGAACCTCAAAAAATAAATAAATAAATAAATAAAAATTTAAAAAACCCCACTCTGATAGGAGTGTTTCCGTGGGGAGGGAATGGCTAGAAATACACAAAGCATTCTCCGAATTTCTGGGCCTGGGCTCTCAGGAAGCCCATGAAGTCAGGGGACCCTGGGCTTCTCTCCCCCGGGCTAAAAGGGGCAGGACAGCTGGATTCCCAAGAGTTCTGAAGTCCCCGACTCTTGGGAGAGGAAGGCCGGAGTCCGGGGCACCAAGGCATTGGGTTTGGAGGGAGGCAGCACCAAGACCTTGGACGTGCGGGCACTCCTGGAGCCCAGAGTTTGGGCGAGGCAGTCCCCGAGTTCTGGGGAGACCCGACCAGAATCTCGGAGAACCCTGACGCCAGTCCCGCGGCGGGATCCGGGTTTCTGCCGAGGAGGCTGGGGAGTCGGCGCGGGGCCGCGCGGTGGGGGGAGATGCCAGAGGCGCTGACTACCTGAGCGGCGCGGGACCGTGGGTGGCCGGGGGAGGCCCCGGAGGCCCCGGGGCCCCGGGAGGGTCGCACAACGCGGACATCCCGGAGCCCGAGCCCGAGCCGGAGGCGGGAGCGGCGGAGCGCAGCAGCGCATGCGCGCTGGTGCGAGACCTGAAAAGGAACGCGCAGCGTCGGGGCCTCTCCGGGAAACCCATCCGGCGACTCCCGCGGCCCCGCGCACGTTGGTTCCGCCCCGCGCAGAGGGCCGGGCCGGGAGAGCCGACCCGCCCGCTGTCCAGGCAACCTTTTTCTTTTTCAAAGGGCCATGGATACACAGACGATTCCATTTATTTTTTTTCCCCCTAAAGCCCCAAATAAAAAGTGTTCACTTCACGAAGTTTCTAAAAAAAAAAGAAGAAGCACTGGGAAACATTTAATTCAAGAAACAGCGACCATGTAAAAAGTAAAGAAGGGAAGAGGGAAAGCGGGAAAGAGACGGAAAGAAAGAAGAGAAAATGTGTAAGAGGAGAAAAGTAAAGAGAGGAGGGAGAAGAAGCCCGAAATAAATTGGGCATCTTCCCAGCCGCAGCGTCCCTGCAGGCCTATCAGTCTCCATCGCCGAGGCTGTGCTGGGTCCTGCCCGCACCCCCGCCCCTGCAGAGGCAGTTTGGGGTGACCCTGCGGAGCCAGCACCCCTCAGTCCATCCAAACCCCAGCTATTCCCCTGACTGGCTGGGTACTGCCTTAACTTTTCCATGACTGCTCCTTCTTACAGAGATAAGGGCGCTTAACAGTACAGCTAAGGCAGAGAATTGTGAACATGGAAACTAGGAAATATGGTAAGCAAGTACTTGATAAGCATTGGCTATTTTTATTATATTTATTGCACGAACTCCAGAAAATAAGCTCTTTGAAAACAGGGCCTTTCCCTTTTTAAAAAGCAAAAACAAGACTGTTGTCTTCATCACCTGCAACAGTGTCTGCCTGGCACCTAGTAGGTTCTTTTTTCACATTATAATAGCCATCTTTATTTGTAAAAATCCACATATCAAATGTATTCTTTCAGTCTTTCCATTATTTCCTTTTTAAAAATATATATTTTATTGATTTTTTACAGAGAGGAAAAGAGAGGGATAGAGAGCCAGAAACATCAGTGAGAGAGAATCATCGATCAGCCGCCTCCTGCACACCCCTTTCTGGGGATGTGCCCGCAACCAAGGCACATGCCCTTGACCAGAATAGAACCTGGGACCCTTGAGTCTGCAGGCTGACGCTCTATCCACTGAGCCAAACCAGTCTTGGCTCCATGATTTCATTTTTAAAAATATATATTTTTTATTGATTTTTTTACAGAGAGGAAGAAGGAGAGTCAGAAACATCGATGGGAGAGAAACATTGATCAGCTGCTTCCTGCACATCCCCCACTGGGGACGTGCTTGCAACCAAGGTATATGCCCTTGACCGGAATCAAATCTGGAACCCTTCATTCCGAAAGCCAACACTCGATCCACTGAGCCAAATTAGTCAGGGCTATGATTTCTATGATTTCCTTTTTACAAAAACAAAAAGGCACATAAAAACCTTCCCCACTGTCATTCCCACAGTCGGATGTTTGTCAGGCAGGCCTCCCTCTCCCCATATAGCTACATGCTTCATCCTAGGCAGCCGCTTCCCCACATGCTTGGGTGCTTCCTACCAGGTGGAGTTCTGAGCTCCAACACTGATTACACAAAGGGGTGGGTGATGGAAGGAGGCTGCTGTCTGCTGCTGCCACTTGTCTTCTACCACACGGCTCCACCCAGACCCCCACGCAGCTCCCAGATGGTTAAATGACTGAACAGGAAAGTTGGTTGAGGCCTGTGTAAGTTAGAGTAAGGCCAGATGGTATGTTCTGAAAATACTTTTGAAGAGATTGTGTTTTAAAAGTTAAATGATTAACTTTCTTTTACGTGTTCTTAAATTTTAGAAGTTCAATCACTCCCAAAGTGTATATACTACCCACTTGCAGGAACATTTCTAGGACAGTAAATGAGACCAATTTCTGCTCCTAATTCTGCCTCAAACAGATCCAACACTTGTGGTCTTGATCCGGCATCTATAATAGAAGGGTTCAGGAACCTGGAGAAGGTGCTGTGTGTAAATTAATTAAGAGTCCAGACAAAACATAATTTTGGAAGGTATTTTGGGGAGTCAGAGAAGATTTAGTTAAAGGAACTAAGTTCTCCTTGTCCCTTGCTTTTTATTAACACAATCTGTCCTAAGGTAAGGGGAGATATACACATCAAAGGTTAGGGTTTGTATACACTCCATTCATTGTCAGATAGGAAGAATTTGCCTACTGTTGTTCAGGTGTTTGGCCAGTAGGAGGCAATAACATGTAGAGTAAGATGCCCTCAGCTGTCTGGCAGCAAGCAATCATCCTTTTCAGGTTTTGGGAAATGCCCTCAGCCATCTCCAGGTGATTCAGCCCTGCTGACATGCTGGAATTGGCCTCCAGCAAACACTTGCGTCCTCCGGACCTCAACTTTTGACCTGTAAAAGGAGGCTTTGAACCAGGGAAGTCCTTCCAGCAACAAGACTATGTGGTCCTTCCCCTAACTGGAAGGTGTGGGAAGCGGTTATAGGATTAAGTCTCGGACTGACCTGCTGGCAGCATAATTAAGCTTGATCTTGTAACTGCAATCGACTTTTTAAAAAAATATATTTTATTGATTTTTTTTTTACAGAGAGGGAGAAGGATAGTTAGAAACATCAGCTGCCTCCTGCACACCCCCTACTGGTGTGCAGGAAATACATTAAACCTTGACTGGTATCAGGACCCGACCTCCTCAGCCAGGACTACATCTATAGGTGGTCAGAAGTGGCAAGTTGGAGTGTCACTCTCTCGAGACAGGCTCCTTGGTGCCTTTGCTCAAGCACACCCTGTGGGTCCTGTGTCACAGCTGCCTTTCCCCCTCTCAGCCCATCCCAGCCCTGCACTCAATCACACACACCCCAGCCAGAACTATGGGCTTTATTGCAAATGGAGCTGACTGCTAAGGAGCGGCCTCTCAGGTCCTTCTTTTCCACTCTGCCTCTCACACACCCCCAGGCAGGTCACTAGGCCATCATGGAAGAGGAGTCTGGGGAGAGTGAGAAGGTGCAATGTTTCATCCAAATGTTTCATCCAAAGCCTTTGGGAACAGGCCCTGAGTCCGCGGCTCCGGGTGAGAATCTTGTGATGAAAGGGCTAAGGTGGGTAGTTTTAGCTCCCATGTTCAAGGTCCTCCATCTCTACATCCTGGGGGGGCTTCGTCTTCTTTTTTGGTTTGGGCTGTGGTCCACTAGTCCTGGATGGCTTTGCAGGGGCTTCCACTGGACAGAGGGAAAGCAGCAGCATTAAAGACCCCAAGTGGAATCAGGCTGCCCTCCACCCCACCTCTGTGCCCCACCTCACCTTCCATGGCTGCCTTCTCTTTCTGGGCAAGCCGGATCTGCTGGAGGAGTTTCCTGCGCTTCTTCCCAGACAGAGTAATGTTGGCACGGGCACTGGACCTGACGGGTTGGCAGGAACAAAGATCTGGGTTAACCTGAACCACACAAACTGTACAAGTGGATCTAGCTATTAAAAAGGTCTTGGCTGGCTGGCATAGCTCAGTGGTTGGACATCGACCTATGAACTAGGAGGTCACGGTTCGGTTCCCAGCCAGGGCACAGGCCTAGATTGCAAGCTCCATCCCCAGGAGGGGGTGTGCAGGAGGCTGCCAATCAATGATTCTCTCTCATCATTGATATTTCTCTCTCTCTCTCCTTCTCTAAAATCAATTTTAAAAAATGCTTTTTTAATGCCGAAACCGGTTTAGCTCAATGGATAGAGCGTCGGCCTGCGGACTGAAAGGTCCCAGGTTCGATTCCGGTCAAGGGCATGTACCGTGGTTGCGGGCACATCCCCATTAGGGGGTGTGCAAGAAGCAGCTGGTCGATGATTCTCCCTCATCGATGTTTCTAGCTCTCTATCCCTCTTCCTTCCTCTCTGTAAAAAATCAATAAAATATATATATTTTAAAAAAATGCTTTTTTAAAAAAGGTCTTTGTATCCACATCAAAAAACTATTTAAAAATCTGGGCTCGGAGGTAGTAAGTTTAATTTCAACACATCAAGTACTTAACATTAATTGCTAAATTTTAATATATTGTAGGAACTTTAAGGGGAAACTATTTTTCTCTCTTCTAGATACTTCTAACATCAGATTGAAGGAGGAGAGGTTTTAATCCCACATCAAACAATTTTCCAGTTCTCATCAGACATTAACTAAATGTCCTACAATTTATTCTCTCCCCCTCGACAATTAAAGAAATATATTTTAATTGATTTGAGAGAGGGGATGGGATGGGGTAACATCAATGAGAGAGAATCATTGATTGGTTGCCCCCACCCTGCATGCCCCCCACTGGGGATCCGGCCAGCAACCTGGGCATGTGCCCTGACCCCCTGATGGGGAACTGAACTCACCAACTTCCAGTGTATGGGATGATGCTCCAACTAACTGAGCCACACTGTCCAGGGCGAATGTCCTTAAATTTAATTCAATGACATTATCTACCTGTACTTTCCGACCCACCTGCTATAAAGCAGGGTTCTCATAACCCCTTTTCCAGACTCCTTAATTTGTAAGAAGAGCTCACAGGACTTACTGATTTATTATAAAAGGATACAACTCAGAACAGCCAGAAGGAAGAGGGGCAAAAGGTAAGGTATGGGTGGGGGGTGGGGGGTAGGCCAGAAGTCTCCAGGCCCTTTCCAGATGAGCTACCTTCTAGCACCTCCACCAATTCACCAACCAGGAAGCTCATCAAATCTCAAGACTTTTTATAGAGTTTAATCACCAGCACCCCCACCATCCCCTACCCTACTTCCCAAGGTGGAGGGGGCGAGGTTGAATTTTCCAGTCCTCTCCTCACAGTTTTTTTCTGGTGACCAGACCACCCTGTCATCATGAGCATAAACTTAGGCGTGCTCAAAGGGGTCCTAGTGAAAATAAACGCTCCTCTCGCGCGGAAGGGTTTGGGAGCTCTGTGCCAGGAACCAGGGACAAAGCCCAAATAAACAACTTTCTTATAACAAACTCTGCAGAGACCGGCAATGAAGAATTCAATGAAAGAAGGCACGGGAACTTTCCTCCCAGACCAGGGAGTCCTGAAACTTCCATGCAAACCCCATAGCGCCTCCGTGAAAACGCATCGAGCTGCAGGCACCCCCCACCTCCGCGCGCTTTAGGTTTTACTTATAAATAAAGGCCCAAACCCAGGAGACGCGTCTCCCGCACAAACGCGGGTGCGCAGCGAAGGCAGCGGCGCCAGCGGCTCCGGAGTCGGCCGCGGGGAAAGGGTCCCGGGGGGAAGGGTCCCGGGGGGGAAGGGTCCCGGGGGAAGGGCCGCGGGGAAAGGCCCCGGGGAGGGCCGGGCACTCACGCCCGCTTCTTGAGGTGGTGCCGCGTGGTCAGCCCCGCGTCTATCACGGCCCCGACCACCCGGTGCTTCAGGCGCCGCTCCCGGCTCAGCACCCGCCGGCGCTTGAACAGCTTCTTCTTCAGCTCCTGCGGGGGAGGAAGGCGCCGCTCAGGCGGAGGCCGCGCCCCGGCCCCCCAGCCCCCGGCGACGCGGGCCCATCGACCCTACCTCGGGGCGGTGAGAGAGAGGGCGCCCCGACGTACTCACCGTCCGCGGCCGGTTGATCTTGCCGCCCGGAGCTCCCATGGCTGAGTAGCTCAGTCGGCCTCGGGTCCACGTTTCCGCCGGAAGCCGGGTCCACATGGCCCCGCCCCCGGTCCCCAGAAAGCCAATCGCAGCTCGGGGGCGGGGCCTGGCGCTACATAAGGGAGCTCAGTGGGCTCCTCCTCCTCTCCGGGGCCGGCTGCGGGGTGAGTGTTACCTTGTCTTGGGTGCCTGTGGGGCGGGCTGGGGTCCTGGGCTGGGATCGCGGACCCTCCTTTTCTTGGCGGGGTTCGGGCGTGCGGTCCCGGTCCCCGTAATGTACGGAGGCAGAGGGAGAGGGCTCCGGCCCCCTCGGCGTCATGTCTTCGGTGCCGGCGGTGTCCAGTCCGCCGGTTCTATCCTCAAGCGCCGGGACACGGATCTCCGAGGAGCAGGGCAGAACCGAAGTCCCGCGGCCCCTCCCCCGGGTGCTCATGCCTTCTCTTCTTGTTTCAGGTCGGAAGCCGCCGCGGGATCCAGAGCCGTCCTGTCCCCTCCTCTTCCACTCCCCGTTGTAGCCAATAAAGGCCCAGGCCGCCCGTACCGCCTAGGTGTGTGTGTCCGCGTGCTTTTTCCGAGGCTGCAGGGTTAGGCCGCACCCGTTATTCAAGAGCGGATGTTGCAAATCTCCTCCTGAATCCTAGGCTTCTGCGGGGAGTTCGGGCGATCTTGCCGGCATTCCCGGATGGCCGCGCTGCGACGAGCCCTCCACGTGGCCGCCTTGGCTGCGGGGACGCGCCGCGCCCTAGCGGGTAGGAAAGATGGGCAGGGGGAGGGCAAGGTGGTTTCTCCCTGCCCCTGGAGTCGAGTGTGGCTGCTAAAGGTCCCGTTGCATCGCGTCATTTTTGCAGGGGGTTTGAACGGGACTCGGGTGACACATGCCTTCCACTCGTGTCCGCAGGCTCCCTGGCCGGTAGCTGCCTGGCGGACCGCGGCCTCTGGGATAAGCTCCACGCCCAGCCCCGGCCGGGCGGAGTCCCCACCTTCGACTGGTTCTTTGGGTACGAGGACACTCAGGGCCTCCTCCTGCCGCTGCTGAGGGGAGCCCAGGCCGCCTGCCCGTGGCGGGTGCTGGACGTGGGCTGCGGGACCTCCAGCCTGAGCGTGGGTCTCTATGCCAAGTGCCCACACCCGGTGGACGTGCTGGGGGTGGACTTCTCTCCCGTGGCCGTGGCCCACATGAACAACATCCTGGAAGGTGGCCAAGGCCAGACACCCCTGTTCCCTGGGCACCCTGCCTCCCGCCTCCGCTTCATGCAGGCTGATGCCCGGAACCTGGAGCCACTGGCTTCGGGCTCCTTCCAGCTGGTGCTGGATAAGGGCACCTGGGATGCTGTTGCCAGAGGTGGTCTGCCCGGGGCTTACCAGCTGCTGTCCGAATGCCTGAGGGTCCTAAGCCCGCAGGGGACCCTGATTCAGTTCTCAGACGAGGACCCTGACGTGCGGCTTCCCTGCCTGGAGCAAGGGTCCCCAGGGTGGAGTGTGACAGTGCAGGAGCTAGGCGTTCAAGGGCATCACCTACTTTGCTTACTTGGTTCAAGGCTCTCATTAAAGACATGGTCTTGACCCTAGAGTTTCTGTTCGGTGAGGAGAGACGGAGGGAGCTTTGCCTTTGCCAGATGGCTGGAGGATTTTAGTCCTGGCTGCCATGATGACTAACCAAGAGCACCCAGTTTTGACTGCCCATTAACTCACCAGCAAGGTATAAATAATATCTGGATGTATGGGTGTTGCATACATGGATAGCTGGAACCTTTAGAAGAACCAGGCCCACAGGGAAGATAATGAGTTATCCCCCATCCCTATCTAATAGGAACTTCTAAAAGCAGCAGGAGGCAGCCAGTGGTTCTCCCTCAAAGAGTTCTTATCCAAATCCCAGCTTCGACTGATGTGTGACCCAGTGGCCTATCCTCTGAGCTCATTTTTCTCACCTGCAGAAGGGAAAGGGTGAAAGGACAGGCAGAAGGGCTCACGGGCAAACCTAAGTCCTAGGTGAAACGTTGAGAGAGAACAGCAACCTCGGCTCCTGGGCAGCAGAGGGCGGCATCCATTGAGTGGCTTCTGCTGCCTGTTGGCTCCCAGAGAGGCCTGGGATTGGGAGCTTCCTGACACACTGGCCCGGGGATCCAGTAGGCATCTCGCTCTACCTGTTTTGCCCTGAGCCGAGTTCTGGATTACAGGCTCTTATGAGAGATCTGGGGTTCAGTGTACTGCATGTCCAATCCGGGTTGGGGGGAGGGGAGTTAAGAGCCCATTAGCAGTGAGATGTTCCCGATACATTGAATTTTTTAAAAACAAAAATGAACTTGTGATCTGTTTTCACTTCAGGTCAAATAAATGTTTTCTTTTTACTAAAAAACATGAATTGGTGATTTTTGCTTGTGAAAAAGGAAGAGCCTGATGTCACAGCCTGTTTCCTCATGAGGGGAAAGGATCTCCCTTGTTGGGTTCTGAAAATCATGAAGTAGAAGTAACAGTGCCTAGCATACAGTAAATTTCTGAGCGGGTATACAGGTGGGCGAGATCTGCAAGAGAAGACTTGCCAAATGGTAGCTCTCACTGGGCAGTCAGAATTGGGGGATTTTAAGATATTAAAAATACATAGTAAGCCTTAGCTGATTTGGCTCTGGATAGAGCGTTGGCCTGAACAATAAAGGGTCCCAGGTTTGATTCCAGTCAAGGGCACATGCCTGGGTTGTAGGAAGCAGTCAATGACTCACCATTATGTTTCTTGTGCTCTCCCAATCTGAAATCAATATATATAATTTTAAAAAATATATATTGATTTTTCTTACAGAGAGGAAGGGAGAGGGATAGAGAGCTAGACACGTCGATGAGAGTGAAACCGACCAGCTGCCTCTTGCATACTCCCTACCCGGGAGTATGTGCCCGCAACCAATGTACATGCCCTTGACCTGAATCGAACCTGGGACCTTTCAGTCCGCAGACCAACACTACCGCTGAGCTAAACCGGTTTCGGCAATAAAAAAAATATTTTTAAAAAATACATATTAAGCCCAGTGTGGCTCAGTGTTTTGAGTGTTGACCTATGAACCAGGAGGTCACAGTTCAATTCCTGGTCAGGGTACATATTTAGATTGCGCTTGATCCCCCTTGTGGGCTGTGCAGGAGGCAGCCAATGATTCTCCCTCATTGATGTTTCTCTCTCCCTCTCCCTTTCCCTCTGAAATCAATGAAAATATATTTTAAGAAAAACATATCAAAAGGCATGACCCAGCTGACATCAAAACTGCTCTCAAGCAGAAACCAGTTAGGCTCAGAGGATAGAGCGTCAGTCTGCGGACTAAAAGGTCCCAGGTTCGATTCCAGTCAAGGGTATGTACCTTGGTTGAGGGCACATCCCCAATGGGAAGTGTGCAGGCGGCAGCTGATCGAGGTTTCTCTCTCATCGATGTTTCTAGCTCTCTCCCTCTCCCTTCCTCCCTGTAAAAAAATCAATAAATAAAAAAGTTACTGCGGGCAAGCATGGAGCACAGGTCTGGCCTTCGTCCCCGTCTTTCCTGCTCCCGCCCCTCCGGATCAGGAAACTTAAGAAGCAAGCAGTTGGTTGTAACAGCCGCAGCAACTAAGGAGACGCACTGCGGCCGGGGAGCTCGGCGGGTTCGGGCGGCCTCCGATACGCCCAGGCTGCGGGTCCCATCTCGTCAGGGCGCAGACACGAAGCTACCAGTAAAAAATCCTGCTCCGAACTCCGCCACCACGGGGCCCGCGCTCCGCCCGCAGGGCTCACGCCTTCTGGGCACGCTCAGCCTCCTCGGGGCGCTCCGCCTTCCTGGCCAAACCCAGACTGGAGCCTCGGGCGCTCAGGGCCGCTCTAGCCAGCCCTTTTCTATGGTGTCCGCTCGGGGCCGCTCTAGCCTGCCCTTTTCTGTGGTGTCCACGGGCGGTCGCTCTAGCCCGCGCAGGAGCCGGCGAGACGCGGTGCCGGCCTCTCTAGGCTGCGGGAGAGCGCGGTGGCGCCTCGCTGGTCGTGCGGTGGGCGATGGGGTTCTGGCGCAAAGCGCTCATCTCAGCCGCGGTCCTGGGCGCGTGGGCCGGCGTGGGCTCCGCGCTCTTCGTCCTCGTGACCCCGGGAGAGGAGCGGGTTCAGGCGATGATGAAGGTGGGAGCGATAGGAACACCGAGTGGGCTGGGTGGGCAGGCGGGGAAGCCTGCCGCGCTTGGGGCCGGAACTGCGAACCTCTCTCCCGCAGGAGATGGCAGGGCAGGACTTTCGGAGCCGCGAAGAGGCGGCCAGGACCAAGCAGTTAGTGATGGCCGCTCTGCAGGAGGCAGCTGCCACGCAGGAGAATGTGACCTGGAGGAAGAACTGGCAGGTTGGCGGCGGCGGCGGCAAGTCGGCGTGAGCCGGACCTGCACCCTTGGGCGCGGGGAGCTCCGCTCCGGCACCGGAGTGGGAGGCGGCCGTTCTCCAGGGACCTGGCGGGGAGGCCGGGCTGCGGGAGCTGCCGCCGGGTGAGCACTTCCCCCCAAACCCCACACTGACTGCGCGTTCCTGTCCTTCCCGCGGGCCGGCGCCATCGGATGTGGTGAACTGAGGGAACCAGTAAATCACGTTCCCCCATCCAGAAAGCGAGCTGTGAGGTGTGACGCCTGTAATGTCTCCGGTTGTGGGGTCGGTTCTGAGGGCTGGGGTGCCCGCAGACCCCAGTGCCCCGCTTCCCATGGGAGGCCGAAGCCCAATAGGCACAGCGATCACGTTTTCAAAACACAAGTCAGGTCATGTGTGTTTGAGTGTACTTTTGGGGGTAACCGAGCAACAGTCTTAAAGTCAGAACTGCCCTGGAAAACCTTGTAGCGGCAGCTGCCCAGAGGACACTGGGGTCCTGTCCTGCGGTTGGAGCGAGCTCCTAGCTCTGAGCATGTGCCGGGCGGCTTCCGTGCCATTAGCCTGGGAGCCCGTTTGCTTGGAGTGGAAGCGTGTTTGGAGGCAGACAGACTTAATTCAACTCCAGCATGTCACACGTTCCCTCTGAGCCTCAATGCTGCTCTGTAAAAGGTAACACTTACCTTAAGGGCGTCGTAAGAATAATTTATAACTTATTAAAAGTGTAGTACCTGGCAGAGCAGCCTCAGTAAACAGTAAAGTTTCCCCCAAGGTTGTAAGTCTGAGTCTGGTATAGGATCTACTGGAAGTGAGGCTGCAGCCCCACAGCCAAGTCTATTGCTTGGCTCCCCTTTTGTCCTTCCAGGAGAAAAAAGGCTGCTTTTATCACATAAACTTAGCCAGAACACTATAAATACAGAGGTATAAACCCAGATTGGAGCCTTGGTGTTTTCAACTGCTGGATGAAGTTATCAGCTAAATGCAAGACACCTGCGACCTTTAGTTTAATTGTGGCCCTTTCCTCGCCTGGGATTGAGGGGAAAGTGGCAGCTGTTTGAGAGAACACTAGGGTCAGCTGACAGTGGCTGTGAGGCAGCTTCCGATAAAGGAGCTTGGCACCTAGAGTTGGGTTCCCCAGGTGTGTGTCCAGGATCTGTAACAAGACACCTGTGTCAGCTTGGGCTTTAGTGTCAGTTTCTAAAATAGAATAATCGTACCTACTCCTAGGTAGTAATAGTACCTTCGTATCTCAGTTAATACTTGGAAAATACCTTCAAGGTTATTAATGTTCCTCAATGTTTAGGAATGGCCACATAAACTATTCTTTTAGTAGCTAGTAATTACTGGGGACTTATTTGGTGCCTGAGACTATGCTAAAGCACCTTTTATTGACATTATGTAATCCCTACAACAACTCTAATCAACATGTACTGTTACACCTATTTCACTAAAGTAAACCAGGCTTAGAAAATCAAGGCACATGGCTAATAGGAATCCAAGCTTACCACTACCTTACCCCCAGGAACTGTACTCTCCACCCCCAAGCATGCCCCCACCTCAACTTGCCCAGCAACTAACCAGACCCAGAGATCAGAAATAAGTCTTTGTGGGGAATGTAGGTGAATGGCATCTGATCTAAAAGCATTCCCTTTAGTCTTCCTCCCAGTCACTCAGAAGGAGTCCGCGCAGAGAACTCAGAGGGGCTATTTATTAGGAAAGAGATGTCAGTGCTTTATCAAAGATGCAGAGGTCAGGCCGGAGGCGGATAGAGGCCTCTCAGCTGGGACATTTCTTGGCCACAATGAGGACAGCAGAAGGCACGAGACCTGAAGACGAAGGAGGAACACCGATTTAAACCACACACACCACGTTTTGTCTCCCAAACTCCTGGCCGCACACCTTCCCCTCCAAGAGCCTTCTCCCGGCACCCCTTCCTTCTCAGGCATGTGCCCGCCACACCCCAGTCCTGCTCCAGGCCCCGTGTCATACCCAGGTCCTGCAGAGGCCGCTCCATGTCGGCCTCTGAGAAGGCCCGCCGGGGGAAGCCACTGAGCAGCTGCACGGGGTCCTGGTCCCCGCCGGGCTCCTCGCCGCGGTGCAGCTCCACGTAAAGCCGGACGGCTGCCAGCTGCTCCCGCGCCCGGAACGTCTGGGTCAGCGAGGTCCCGTCGGGCAGCCGGACCTGGAGGCAGGTGAGTGTCACCGGAGGGAGGGACCCCATAAGGGAAAGAAGAGCAGCGTGGGCTCCTCCTTCCTCTCAGACAGAGCAGAAAGCACCTGGAGCAGTCACTGCAGTTCTGATTTACTAACCAACTGAGAGAGAGACTTCTCGCTCCCTCACAAAACTACCTGGAAAAATGTCTCATCAATGAGAAATGTTAGCTCCACAAACAGCTGAAATGCCTCGTAAGTGAATAAACGTTAGCTCCACAAACAGCTGTGTGATAAGGCCAATGGAAGCATGAACAAGTGAGGAGTAATTGCTGAGTAAGAGGGAGGTATGGATTTAAATAAGACTGGGCAAGTGAAATGGGATATCATTCCTATCATTCCTAAGAGGAGAGAAGGTAGGATTTCAAAAGTCATTTACTAAGAAGGGAGAAGTTTGGCAAAGGAAACCGAACTGAAAAAAGCTCTGGGCCCTAGCTTGTTTGGCTCAATGGGTAGAGCTTTGACCCTCTGACTGACAGGGCCCAGGTTCAATTCCAGCTAGAGCATGTACTTCGGTCGCAGGCTCAATCCCTGCCTTGGCTGGGGCTCCTGCAGAAGGCAACCAATTGAGATCTCTCACATTGATGTTTCTCCTGTCTCTCCCTCTTCACTCTCTCTAAAAAAGAACAATGGAAAAACCCTGGGATGAGGATTAACATACAAAGCTCTGGGCTAGGGGCTTTACAGGCCAGCACAGACCCAGGAAGCGAGAAGAATCAGGATCGAGAAGAACCAGGATCAGTACCTGTATGCGGCACTGGTCATATTCCCGCTTGCTGGGAGGCTCCTGGCTGGGAGAGGAGGGAACAGAGCCTGGCTGGGCGGGTGTGGATGGCTGGGAACTCACACTGCCACCGTACTGGAGGAGGAAGCAAAGCACCCATCAGGCACCCACCCATCAGGCACGCACCCGCGCCAGAGAAACACAGCCCAGCCTTCCCTCGGAAGCAGGAGATGGGACTTATTGGCCTCCTCCACTGAATTGCCCTGTCTTCCCAATCGCCTACCTTCTTGGCTCTCTCTGCTTTGTCTCTTTCAATCTTTTCTCGGACTCTCTGCCTGGAATGCAGACAGGAAGGGAGGTCAGGCATTGACAAAGCAAATGTTGATTCCTTTCTCAGCTCTTACCCAACACGCCCACCTGGCTGCCAACTCTTCGGCCTTTTCCCTCCTGCGCTCCTCCGCGGCCCGGCGCATCTCATCTTCCTGGAGCCGCTGCCGGGCCGCTGACAACTCTTGCCCTTGTCTCCGGCGCTGCCGTTCGCGTTCCAACGCCTCCCGCTCTTCCCTTTCTTCCCGCTCCCGCTGTTTCTGGGCCACCAGCTCCAACATCCTGTGTTGCAAAAAGTAAAGAGCTTAAGGGAAATGAACGCGGAGGGGAAAGACGTTTATAACAAGGGACTCGGAAAACACAAGATCGTTCCTGGCTATATACCTCTTAGTCTGCTCCTGTCTTTCCTCTTCACTCAAAACGAGTTTGCCTTCTTCCGCGGGGGCGCCAGGTCCTACAAACAAGCAATGGGTATTAGCCCGGCCGTCCTCCTCGGGCCCCTGCACAGTCACACCGTGCCCCTCGGTCAGGACCTTCGGGGCCACCCTGCTCGGAGGAGGTGGGTTCCTGTCCCAGGACATGTCCGACGGGGGTCGCCAGCGGCTCGTCCACATCGGGGTCGTCTTCGTGCTCCATCAGCCTGGCGGAGAAAGTGGGCAGGGAGGGAGGTCGGTACTGCGGCTGCCCTCCCGGACCCCCGTCCCTGCCCCGGGGTGGGCGCTCACCAGTCCATCGCGGCCTCGATGCCCTGGTTCCCTGTGAGGGCCAGAGCCTTCTCCCTGGGGGGCAGAAACACCGTGAGCGCCCGCGGGCCATGGTGCCGGGCGGGCTGGGGCGCCGAGCCAGGCGGGGGGAAGGCCGGACACGCCCGCGACCCCCGCGGGCCGGGGCTAGAGGGGCTCCCTTACGCGCGTCCCCTGGGGAAGCCCATCTCGATGAGACTCTCCAGAGCCGTCAGCTCCGCCATGACGCCGCCAACGCCGCCTCCGCGGGGACCTGGGGGGACGAGAAGGGGGTCGGGGGTCAGTGAGGGGCACTCCCGACCCGCGGGCAAGCCCGCCCCGCACGGACGGGCCCCGGCCAGGCGTTCGCTCCCTCACCCGACTCTGGATCCGCCGCGGACACTGCCGAGAAGAAAGCAGCGGACGGGAAGTGGAAGTGCCCGGATCTGTTTGGGTCACGTGGGGGCGGACGTGGACGGGGGCCGCCGAGAGTCAGAAAGCACAAGCCTGACCCTTCCGCCTGGACCGCGCGGGGCGGGAGAACATCTCGCGAGACTCGTGAAGAGGCACCTAAACAACCCCCCGCGCCAGACCACGGTGGGCTAGGGGGTGCGGCCCAGACCGCCGTGGGCGGGCCCGGACGGGCTCGCGATCCGGTCCCTCGGGCCTCCGGTTGGGAAGTGATTGGCACTGTTTTTGCGGAGCCCTGGCCGCGGGCATACTCTCTGACCCGCTCGTCTCTCCGGGGAATGGAGCCGGCCTCCGCCCGACTGCCAAAGGGATCTTTGGGAAACACAGTATCTTACCCTGCCATCGCCTCCCTGCCTGAAACTCCACGACTTGCCAGTCCCTTAGGACAGCGGTCTTCAGGCACTCGGTACGCCCCAGGAATTTTTTAAACAACACTACCTGACCAGTCAGGGCCACTGACCTCTTTTCCCTTAGGTTGTCAAATTAATAAATGACAACCTCCAGTGTGAATGAATCAGAGTAATATCTTTTTTTGGGGGGAGGGTCAGATCTGCAAAAAACTTTTTTTTTTTTTTTTTTTTTGGTGTGCTGCAGAATTTTAGTAATTAATGTATGTGTGCCATGAGATGAAAAAGGTTGGAAATCGCCGACGTAGGAGGAAACGGGAGTCTGGCTTCCTCCTGTCATTCCTTTTCTGTTGGAGTCCCATCTGTAAGGCGAGGGTGACTCTGGCCCAATCTTAGGTGCATGGCGAGCCTGTATTATGTAAATGTGACTTCATAGTTGTCGGTTCCCACTGATTGAGGGTAATTTGTGCTTATTGCAAAACAAACCCTCTCTGCCCTCTTGGGTCTTGGCACTACCAGTCCCTCTGCCTGGGACGGCCTGGCTCTTGTGGGCTTAGTCAGCTCTCAGGCAGTTCTTTGGACTGGACTCTGGGTTTGCTTTTATCTTTTATTTACTTGAATTTTTGCGCGTTTATTTGAGCCAAACTGATGACATGAAGCAAAATTTCTAATGCTCCCTGGGTTTGCTTTCTAAAGGAAGTCTGCTTTGTCCATCCCAACTCCACCTCCCAGCTCCAATAATTACCCCAATAAGCATTTACATCCCTGCTGTGTAGTCCTTGTGGATTACTTAGCCCCACTACCTGTGAGCCACATGCGTGCAGCTTTTTAGCCCCTTGAATGTGGCTCTTCTACAGAATACCACGGCCTGGGCTAGTCTGTTTTGAAGAAGTGACCTTAGAAGAAGTTTAAGAAATGTGGCTCTCCAAAGAAATTTCAGTTGTTGTTCTGTTGATATTTGGCTCTGTTGACTAATGAGTTTGCCGACCACTGTCCTAGGCTAGTAAGAGGCAGAGTAGCCAAAAACCGGTTTGGCTCAGTGGATAGAGTGTCGGACTGGAGGGTCTCAGGTTCGATTCCGGTCAGGGGGCACGTACATTGGTTGTGGGCACATCCCCGGTGGGGGGCGTGCAGGAGGCAGCTGGTCAATGTTTCTCATTGATGTTTTTAGATCTCTATCCCTCTCCCTTACTCTCTGTGAAAAATCAATAAAATATATATTTTTAAAAAGAGGCAGAGTAACAATAAGTTGATATTGATAACATATGCACTAGAGACTTTTAGACAATTAATGCATATTTAATCATCACAACAATCCATATGATATAGGTACCATCGTTAGTCACAGGAGACACAGAAAGATGAGATAATGTATCTGAGGTCACAAAGCTGGCACTACGTAGCAGAGCTGGGATTCGAAGCTTAGTGCATTTAGCAAATGCAATGTGTGTTCACTAAGCCGCTGTGCTCTGTTCCCTCTCCATGGTGGAGTTGGGAAACTTGAGCCCAAATCCTAATTCGACTCACTGCGTGTAGCTTCAAACCCCTTAGAACCTAAACCTTCTCATCGTAAAAAGGTGATACCATCTCTTGGAATAGTCGCAAAGATCGAGAATGCATGCAAAGCATGTGTCCCCTCCCCCCCTTTCTACTGAATTTATTGGGGTGACACTAGTTAACAAAAGTATGCAGGTTTCAGCTGCGCAATTCCACAACACATCATCTGTAAACTGTATTGTGTGAACATGTCTTTGATAATCAAATAATTGGCCCTCATTATTTGTAAACCAGAGGCCCAATGCACAAAATTTGTACTTAGGTAGGGTCCCTAGGCCTGGCCTATGATCAGGGCCAATCAGGGCCTTCCAGCAGCCGGCCTGGGCCTTCCTTCATTCTGCACCACCCCCTGGTGGTCAGCACATGTCACAGCAAGTGATCTAACAACTGGTCTCTCAGTCAAACTTCCAAGGGAACACTTTGCATATTAGCCTTTTATATATATAGATGGATAAGTACTGAGGATGCCGTAAGCAAAAAAGGCAATGAATAGTGATAAGTGGCCCTAATCTGTTTGGCTCAGTGGACAGAGCGTAAGCCTGCAGACTGAAGGGTCCTAGGTTTGATTTCAGTCAAGAGCTCATGCCCTGTTTGCTGGAGGCCTGCAGGAGGCAGCTGATTAGTTTTTCTCATCATTGATGTTTCTCTCTTTCCCTCTCCCTTCCTCTCTGAAAGCAATAAAAATATATATTTAAGAAAAGAGTGAGTGATAAGTGTAGTCTAGGTAATAACTATCTTCTAAATTTATTCTAAAGGTCCAATAATAAAAGTGACTAAGTTGTATGGCTTGCCTCTTTGACCTACTTCCAGGTAAGTACCCTATAGAAACACACACAATGTGAGGATGCACAAACAGGATGTCGTAGCAAAAACTGGAGACAAATGCTCCAACAAAGAGCGATGGCTGCTGCTGGTTACGGAAAATCCTCCGATGGGGAAATTATGAATCCTTTAACGTAACTACGGAGGCTCTGAGTTACCAACCAGGAACACTGTCCATAAGAAACAAAGTGAAAAAGAGAAAATGCACTGGCCCGGCCGGGTAGCTCATTGGTGAGAGCTTCGTCCCACTGTGCCAAGGTTGTGGGTCCCATCCTGGTCAGGGCATGTACAGGAATCAACCAATGAATGTATAAGTAAGTGGAACCTCAGGTCAATGTTTTTCTTTCTCCTGTCTTCTCTCAAGTCAGTTTTTCAAAAGCCCTGTCTGGTGTGGTTGGAGTGTACCATGCACCAAGAGGACACCAGTTAGAATCCCGGTCAGGGCGCACGCCTGGGTTGTGGGCTCAATCCTCGATAAGGGGAGTGCAGGAGACAGCCGCACCAATGTTTCTTCTCTCCCTCCCTCCTCTCTCTAAGATCAATTTTTTAAAAATCAGCTTTAAAAAAATTTAAAAAGAGAAAATAATTGTGTTACATAAAGATCTGCTCTGCTACAAGCAATAGTGTCTTGAGGAGGAGGGGAACTTTCACTTTATACTCTGCAGTATTACTGTTGATAAATTTTTTAAAAAGTTGTAAGACCAATATAAGTGAGGATTATACTCTTTAGCAACATACGACTTTTCTACATCCAATTCACTTAGAAATAAATGCAAAATTATGTATACTACCCTGAAGAACCGGTGTGTGGATAGGGGGCTGGAAAGGATTATGAAGGTGAAATGTTCTCCTTTAACGCGGTTACAAGGGGCACACAATAAAGTTGGGGAAGGAGGAAAGCCCTTAATATTATTTTTTATTATTATTATTTTTAACTGGCAAGCTCCGCCTAGACAGCAGCTTGAGCTATCCCCCACCCCGCCCCACGTGTCAGTCATTGATCTCCACCTGCCAGACCCGGTGGAGGAAGTCAGGTGTGCGCAAGCTCAGTAGCTAAACAAAAGGCAGAAGGATATGGGGTCTCCGGTCCCAAACTTCCACGCTGCAGCCGCATATTCTCAAAGCCCCGCCGACACCCCCCTTCGCAGCAAAGCCCTTCCCGGGGTGCGTGGCAGGGGTTGCTAAGCGACGCCAACAAGGCCAGAGGTGGCTGGCTTTTCCGTGTTTACAAATGGTTGCATGGCTACATGAGGACCTATAGAAAGTCTTGGATTTCATCCTCTGGAACCGCAAAACCGGTTATTTGCCGTCCGATCCTTTCCAAAAGGACCCTCTCTTCTCCTGCGCCACTTGAGCCAGAAGAGACAGGCGGGCGCGGCAGAGCCCTGGGGGCTCAGTTGGGGCGGCGGGGGCGGGGCCGCACTCCGCGGGGAGCCGGGGCTCAGTGCGCCCGGTGGGGTCGGCGGGGGCTCAGTGGGCCCCCCGGGGTTGGCGGGGGCTCAGTGGGCCCCCGGGGTTGGCGGGGGCTCAGTGGGCCCCCGGGGTTGGCGGGGGCTCAGTGGGCCCCCGGGGTTGGCGGGGGCTCAGTGGGCCCCCGGGGTTGGCGGGGGCTCAGTGGGCCCCCGGGGTTGGCGGGGGCTCAGTGGGCCCCCCGGGGTTGGCGGGGGCTCAGTGGGCCCCCGGGGTTGGCGGGTTGGCGGGGGCTCAGTGGGCCCCCGGGGTTGGCGGGGGCGGCGGGGGCAGCCGCAGCGCTCCCGCAGCCAGCAGTGCCAGACCAGGGCGCCAACGCTCAGCAGGGCCAGCGCCGCGCCCACCCCCACGGCCGCGTGCACCAGGATCCCGGGCCGCGGGGGCACGGCCACCGGGCCGCACGGCCCCAGGGCAGGGCCGCCCGCGGAGCCCTCGGGGGCCGCCGCGGGCCCGGGCGCGCCGCTCTCGCCCGCCGCGTTGGCCGCCACCACGCACACGAAGTAGGCGCCCCCGGGCCGCAGCCCCCGCAGCTCGGCGCGGCGCACGGTGGCGTCGAAGGGGCCGCTGCGCCGCGGGGGCCCGCCGCCCTCCCACAGCAGCAGCCAGTAGCGCAGCACCGGCGAGGAGGGCGCGCACCAGCGCACCTCGGCGCCGCCCGCCTCGGCCGCCACGTGCACGTCCGCCAGGCGCGGCGGCAGGGGCGGCCGGTCCGGGCTGGAGAGCCCGGGGCACAGGCAGGGCGCCGGGCCCGCCTGCAGCTCTCGGCACGGGACCTGCAGGTGGCGGCAGCGGTCATAGTCGCAGAGGACGGGCGGCCGGGGGGTCGGCGGGGCCTCCTCTTCCTCCTCCTCTCCCAAGGCCCGCGGGGCCCAGGGCCGCGCCCCGGGAAGCCCGGAGCAGGCGACGGCCAGGAGCAGCCACCGGAGGCAGGGCGCACCCGGCATGGAGCCTGGAAGGGGAGGGGTGGGTCAGGAGGCCGCCGGGCCCCCAGGCTCCCCTCCGCAAACCCCGGGGACCGGGAACACCGCTGGGGGCCCAGAGAACACGGGGGGAGGGAACGAGGCACACACACGAATTGTCACCCAAGTTCTGAACAACGGCCCACGTGCTTCATTTCGGGCAAAGAAAGAAAACGTGGTGGGACGGGAGCCAGTGGGGTGACCAGCGGGGTGGGAAGTATAGAAACAGTTAATGAGTAAGCCAAGCGCTTGGAGCGAGGAGGGGGGAACAGGAGGAAGTAGTTACCCAGCCTGGGATAAAGGTGGCCCCAACCCCAGCTTGCCGCCAGAGAAACGATCTAAGTAAAACAAGGATCAGTCAAGGTCACGTGCAAGCACTAGAGCTGAGAAGGGGGAGAGAGATGGGACAGAGACCCACCCCCACCTGTCACCGGAGTCCGGGTCCCTGCCTGCTTCCCACCTACCGGCTCCTGGCTCCTCCTGGCCCACGCAGCCTCACCAGCGCGTAGGCCGGGATGCAGCGGGAATCTGTGACCTCAGTGAGGGCAGGCCGGGTCTCCAGGAACAGGCTGCGCAGTCAGGTCTCCTGTCTTCGATTTCGGTGTTTTTATACCCTCTGGCTGTGAGGTCACTGTGAGCCCCCCTTCCCCTGCCCTCCTTTCCCGGGGAGTACCAAGAAGAGGGCTGGTCCCCGCAGAGGGCCTGAGTCACAGGCAGGGGGTGGGGGAGCCACACGCAGGCTTTCGGCTGGAGGCTCGGATGCCTGGGTTCGGGAAGGGCCTGGAATGTGGAAAGCAGCCAGCAGCGGAGGAGCCAGAGGCTGAAGTTGTGCCAGGGATGGACAGGGAGGGGGCCACCTGGCTGGTGTCAGAGAGGAAAACAGATGGACAGCGTGTGGCCGAGGCTCCCAAATGCTGTTTCAGTAAAAATCATACCACATCCACGGCTGGCTGTCATTTCCTGTCTCCTGCCTCCCAGTGGACAGAGAGGGAGGGGAGCCGAGGCCCGAAGGATGCAGGCCAGCTCTCCAGACCCGCCCGACACCTTCCCACTCCCCAGAGGGAGAGGAGCGTCACGGGGGGGAGGAGGGAGGGGGTGCGCCCTCCTTGCACTGCCAGGCTCCTGGGTGAGCACAGCGGGGCTGCGCCCAGCAGAGCGGGGCCTCGGGTTGAGCTCCATCCTGGGCGCCAGAAGATTGCCCGTGAGTGCCCGGTCAGGACACAGACCTGGGTGGCGGGTTTGGTTCCGTCGGGCCACGGAGGGAAGGCCACCAGCTGATGTTGCTCTCACATTGCCGTCCCCACACCCACCCGCCCTCCTCCCCTCTCTAAGCATGTCCGGGGTGAGCAGAAACACAAAACCAACCACAAAACAGCTGTGCCTGAAACAGTTCCAGATGTGCAGGCCTTTCTCATTCTGATCAGTGACTGTCCTGACACGCCAAGGTTCCCTCCCTGGTCCGGGCACACGCAGGAATGGACCAGGAGAGTGCATGGTTAAGTGGAGCAGCGTATTGAAGTTTCTCTCTCCCCCCTTCCTCTTTCTCTACAAAGAAAACAAACAAAAAACAACAAAAACTAAAAAAGAAGAGTCAGGACTTTAGGAAAACGAATCTTGCAGGGACACTTCGAAGGCACAGGTCCAGGAATGACTGTTTTGGAGGAAGCCAGTTAGAAGGCTATTACCACAGTCCAGATTTGGTCTCTCTGAGAACGTCATCAATGAAAAAGGCAGAGCCCCTCCTGGTAACTCACTGGATAATAGAAGATATCAAAGATGGGTATTTGCACAAAGTTTCTTGGAGAAGAACAGAAATCTTCTGGGAACTCCCTGTGAGACACGTGAACACCTGCTATTTGAGTTCAGAAAACAGCAGCATGAACAATAATTAAACATTAACATTTAAGTAAATGTACTGGGAGCGCAACTGAGCAGAAGAAAAATGTAAATCCATGTTTTTTTGAAAGAGTGAGATACACACAGAGACAATAGTAAACCTTAAAAAAAGAGAGAGAAGAAAAAAAACTAAAAAAGAAGAGTCAGGAGGCAGCTGGCAAGAATATCGTTTATTGGGGAGACGCCAGGCAAGGGCCAGGGTCGGGGTGAAGGTCTGGAGTGTGTGTGGGACTCTCTCAGGAGCTGGAGCAGGTGGGCTGCTGCCGTTGAGTGCCCACGGAGGGCTCAGCACGGCCCAGCGTCTCGGGGGCGGGGGCAGGCGCCTGTGGGTTGGCCTCCGTCAGCAGAGCTGCGTCCTCCCAGGAGCCGGAGCCTGGGCCAGGAGAAGGAACAGGACGTTAGATGGCCAGGCCCAGCCGCGTGCACCCACCCCAGCGCCCCGGGCGGGTGTCCCTCACCATCGCTGGCTTCCCGCTCTAGCTCTTCCTCTCCAAGGGTCTGCGGCTCTGGCTCTGGCTCTGGCTCTGGCTTCTCCTCCTCTGCAGCCACAGGGAGAAAGCAGAGGTGAGCCTGGAAGAGCTGCCGGGGAGGCAGGGAGGAGGGAGGAGGGAGGAGGCGGCGGGAGGGAGGCCGGTGGCTGCGGACCATACCTGCCCCCGAGGGGTCAGGGCTCTCACTCTCACCGTCCTCTGTGTTGTCCGACAGGGGGATTGGCTCCTCCCGGCCTTGGGAGAGAGGGCAGGACAGGGTCAGGGTGGCCGCACGCTCAGTGAGCCCAGCCTCCTCCTGGATGGAGCAGGCGGCTCACCCAGCCGCAGCCCCAGCCCCAGCCCCAGCCCCAGCCCCAGCCCAGCTCTACCTGGCTGGCGGGCAGCTGCCCTCCTCTGGGCCTCATTCCGGGAGCGGCTCCTCAAGCGGATGTTTGCCTGAGGGGAGAAGCTGTCAGCAGCGGGCAACGACTGCCCCCAGACCAGGCCCCGGCACGCCCTGCCCACGCCCAGCCAGGGAAAGGCGGGAAGGGCCCGTTGCCACCTGCAGGTCGAAGGGGTTGTAGGGCCAGACGCTCCCCCACACCCACTGCAGGTAGCTGAAGAGCACGATGACGGAGAGGAAGGTGAAGTTGCTGGTGACGCCGATGAAGGCGCAGGTGATGGGGAAGTTGTACAGCAGGTACCTGCGGCGGGAGAGGGCGGGAAGGACCATGCGGCACCGGCCTCTCCGTCGCAGCCTCGGCTCTGGGCACACAGGCTGGGCCAGCGGAGCACCCCCCTCGGGTTCAGGGGGTCGGTGGGTGGCCCAGGCATCGGCATTTTTAAAAGTTCCCAGGGAACAAACAAAGCAGACACACTGCTGAGCACCAGAGGCCGGCGGGGAGGGCGGACCGGGCAGGGGAACAGCTGTGGGGAGGGCGGACGCACGCTGGTGGTGAGCTGCTGCGGACATGGCTGCTGAATTACATGTTGTGCACTTGAAATGTTAGGCACCAACAGCACCTCAAAACCCCCAACCCCCAACAGCACCTCAAAACCCCCAACCCCCAACAGCACCTCAAAACCCCCAACCCCCAACAGCATCTCAAAACCCCCAACCCCCAACAGCATCTCAAAACCCCCAACCCCCAACAGCACCTCAAAACCCCCAACCCCTCCCCCCCCCGAGGAGGCTCCCAGGGAGCGGCTCTGTGTAGCCGGGCAGACCCGTGACCCCCTGGTCCCTGAGGGCAGCCCTGGGAGCCCCCGCGCCCGTGGGAAAGGCTCCCAGGGAGCGGCTCTGTGTAGCCGGGCAGACCCGAGACCCCCTGGTCCCTGAGGGCAGCCCCGGGAGCCCCCGCGCCCGTGCTCACCGGAGCCCGGAGAAGTGGGCGTGGATGCGGAGGGAGGCGCCGTACAGCTGGATGCGCCTGCTTTGGAGCTCGATGATCGCCCCGGTGGTCGGCACATACTGGGGGGGGGACACACACACATCAGGCCAGGATCCGGCTGCCGTCAATCCGAGGCCCGCCCCCTTCCAGCCTCCGGGTCACTGTGTCCCCCCGCCCCCCATCCCTGTCCCTCCTGACCTAGCCCGGCTCCTCTCCTCGGGGAGAACTGCACCCCCTCACCGAGTTCTCTCTGTATTCCGGGTACAGCTCCACCTCCAGGAGCTGCTTCTGCTCGGAGAAGCCGAAGAGCAGCACGCTGGAGAACACCAGCGTGTCCAGCGTCTGCAGCAGGTTTGAGCGGTAATGCAGCATCACCTGCAGGGGAGGCGAGGGGGGTCAGCACCCGGTTCTCCGGGCCGCCATTCCCGTCCCCGAGCGGCTGTGCAGACGCTTCTCCAGGTCCCCCGCCCCTCACCTGCGCCTTCTACTGTGCCCGCCCACGTCTTGACCCAACCATTTAAGTGCTTGCGTGACAGCCCTGCCCTGCCAACCACAGCCCTGCCTACCTCGGTCCAGCCTCTGCTGTCTCGAATCTACCCCCCCACCCCCACCCCATAGTGCTATCGTCCAAGAAGATGGACTCCCAGGCGCCACCTGAAACTCTGTCCCCAGGCAGACAGTTAGGGATTTGTTACATGACGTGGTTCTGTTGATAAGCAAGAATGGAGCGATGCCTAGCTGGTGTGGCTCAGCAGCTGAATGTCGACTCAGGAACCAAAAGGTCACCAGTTCGATTCCGGGTCAGGATACATGTTCGGGGTTTTGGGCTCCATCCCCAGTAGGGGGCGTGCAGGAGGCAGCTGATTGTTTCTACTTCTCTCCCTTCCTCACTCTCTAAAAAGCAATAAAACCATATTAAAGTAAAAAAAAGAATGGAGTTGTGCTCTAGACAGTTTGGCTCAGTGGACAGAGCGTCGGCCTGTGGACTGAAGGGTCAAGGGCACACGCTCGGGGTTGCAGGCTCAATCCCCAGTAGGGGGCATGCAGGAGGCAATTGATCAATGATTCTCTCTCATCATTGATGTTTCTCTCTCCCTTCCTCTCTGAAATCAATAAAAATAATACATTAAAAAAATTGAGTCATACATTTATTGAACACCTACTATGTGCTAACAAGCACTTTACATTCCTCGTTGAAGCCTCATAGTCTTGCTGTGAGGAGTTTCCCTAATATGGCATACGACACTTTCCAAGCACGCGGCTACCTTGCCCCAGCTGGTATATGCTTCTGGGTGAGGATGTGGGCCCTGGTCTGTCAGGCTCCACGGAGGCCCATATTCAGCCGTATTCAGAGCCGTTCTCTTCAGACTTTATCCCAAAGCTGGACAATGCCACGGGGCACGCCAACGCCCTTCCCTACCTGCTGTGCTTGTGACCTCGGGCAAGGCGCTTGCCCCTGAAGGCCCACCCAGACACCCTCACATCGAGACCCTCCTCCACACCCTCCCACCGGCCACCAGCACTTACGGAGCGAGAAGAAGTGGAGATGACCCGGCCGCCTCGGGTGTAGCAGGAAATGGTGACCAAGAACATGCCCAGATCTTGGTTCACAGGCGACTCTGGCACCTCGAGCTCTAAGACCACGCGGTACGGCTGTCCATACATCAGCACCTGCCCAAGGGAGCCCGTCTCCTTTCAAAACACGGACTTTCCATTGTGTGGTCCCTCTCCCCCCTCCCCACGGCCCTGGTGGACAGTCACTGGCCTTTCACTCTCCTTGCAAGGGCGTGCTGCCCCCTGCTGGCGGCTGAACCCTTCTCACCTCCGGGATCTGAATCGCTCTGCTCCGTTCTGGAAAAGGCTGTCAAGTTTCTTTTCCAAAAGTGAGCCAGCGTGCTGCCAACTGGGCCATCTGTGACTCAGGCCTGTCCCGGAGGCCCATCCTGCCTGCACCTACACGATTAATTAACCAAGTGCCAGCGCGCCATCTCCCCAGCCAGCTCTGCACGGGCCTCCTTACTCAGCCATTTTTGTGTCATTCTGGCCCTGATCTTGGTCGGTAGGGGCCTGAGAGCGCTGTGACTGGGAAGGCTTCTTCTCGGGATTAACCTCAAAATGTCAGGCTTGCCACCAAACACACCCTAGTGCTTCCTGACCATTCCCTATAGCGCCCTCCCTCCACAGGGTGAAGTAAAGCTTGTCTGTCACCACAGAGGGAAGGGATTTTTTATGTTGATAACACTGTGCAGCCGTAGTGAACCAGATGCAGCAGCTGGCTGTGGCCCCGAGGGTGCTCAGGGCGCTTTATCACAGGGTGAAAGGTAGAAGCCGCTTGATCCAAGTCTATACAGATTCTTATTTTCCGTCTGAAGTATCTTTTGGGGGGGAAAAATGGATGCCATGAGATTCCTAAGCCGTAGCAGATGAGTCTAAACCAGTGGCTTCACGGAATTCTTTGAAGTATTAAAACAGTTCTCTGGCTGGTGGGAGGGAAATGGAGGGTGACCGCTAGCTGATGGGTATGGGTTTCTTTTTTTTCTTTTTTAAAAATATTTTTACAGAGAGGAAGGGAGAGGGATAGAGAGATAAACATCAATGAGAGAGAAACATCAACCAGCTGTCTCCTGCACAACCCCTACCGGGGATGTGCCCACAACCAATGAATGTACATGCCCTTGACTGGAATCGAACCTGGGACCCTTCAGTGCGCAGGCCAACGCTCTATCCACTGAGCCAAACCGGTTTCGGCTGGGTTTCTTTCTGGGGTGATGAAAATGTTCTAAATCTGACTGCGGTGATGGGTGCCCGACTCTGTACATACACTAAAAATGACTGAGCTGTCCATTTTAAGTGAGTGCGTTATATGTCATGTGAATTATGTACCAACCAAGCTATCTGTGTGTGAATGCATGTGTGTATATACCGTCTAAATAAATGTTATCTCTGAGCAGATCCACAGAATCTAATACCGGAACCTGTGACCGACTCCATGCTCACGTTCATGTGTGTCTGGGAGGCAGATTCTCCCCTTCCCCCCTGTGCCCACAGTGCCCACCTTCTTTAAAAGGCCCACTTGGAGCCTTTTTCCATGTCTCACACTCATCTCTCCAAGTCTTCACAAATTCTTCTGAAATGCAGATCCTGCATCTTACACTTAACACAATGTATGAAACCCCATCAACCCTTCGGGTTGTCTGAAAGCAGGCCCACACCTTCTATTTTTAGCGAGGTGTTAAGCATAGAGGTGTTAAGCATAGAGTAGACACATTATTATCCACCCGATACATTCATTCATTCAAAAATGCTTGCTGTAAATGTCAAACTCACGACTGGCAAGTCACATGCCTCGTTTATTTAAATGAGGTATAGGACCCGAGATTCTTCAGTCCGCAGGCCCAATGCTCTGTCCACTGAGCCAAACTGGCCAGGGCGTGAGGCTTTCTTTATAATCTGCTCTGTATACTCCAGTTATTAGTATGCTCAGTCAGGGCACATGCCCAGGGTTGCGGGCTCAGTCCCCAGTGGGGGGCATGCGGAAGGCAGCCCATCAGTGATTTTCTCTCATCACTGATGTTTATAGCTCTCCCTCTCCTTTCTTCTCGGAAATCAATAAAAATATTTTAAAAACAAAAATAAAGAAGGATGTGTTCCCACCCTGCATTTCATGGGGTTTCCAGCTTAGTTGAAATCACACTGGCACCTGGCCAGTCCTATGACACAGTACCCTTTGTAATGGCAGATTGCACATTTTCAACAGTTTCATAATTTTATATACAAGCTTTCAAAACTCTTGTGTGGATTCTATCCTGGTCCAGTGAAATAGCTGGTTTGATCCTTTAAAACACATCTCCTGTACACATATGGACTGGCTGAAACAATCTAAGGAGAACATTGCTAACATTTGCAGGAAAAAACAATCCATAAAATTTATTTAGACTAATTTTTCTTTAACTCCCCTCTCCTTTTTTTTTTTAATTGAGTTTATTTGGGTGACACTGGTTATTATCTTTCCTGTTGCTGAGAGCCTTCCTTTCTTAGTCTCTATTACTCAACCCCTGTCCTCCAGCCCCTTCTCAAGTCTTCCTTTTGATTTCAAATCATCAAAGCTCTAACGGGCCGAAACCGGTTTGGTTCAGTGGATAGAGCGTCGGTCTGCAGACTGAAGGGTCCTGGGTTCGATTCCGGTTAAGGGCATGTACATTGGTTGCGGGCACATCCCCAGAAGAGGGTGTGCAGGAAGCAGCTGATCGATGATTCTCTCTCATCGATGTTTCTAACTATATCTATCCCTCTCCCTTCCTCTCTGTGAAAAAAATCAATAAAATATATATATTTTTAAAAAACAAAAGCTCTAACGGAACCTCTCTTCAGCTTCCATACTCACCCGATCACGTCCACCCTTAACTAGGGACACATTGGCAACAGGGAAGGAGCAGAGGTAGGCGGTAGAGGAATCACAGTCGGTCCTAAATAAGAATGAGATGACACTGCTAAGTTATGGAGTCTGCCTTACCTGCAGACTCCACTGTGCTCCCTCCTGTCCCCCATCCCTTCTCCGAGAACAGGCGCCCTCCTCTGTGAGAGATGGAGGAGATGGAGCCAGTAGATTCAAGTGCTTCTTTCTCTTTCTGCGGCTTCAGCTTATTTCGCCTCAGCAGACATGCGTAAGTGGGACTCTTCCGACACTTCATTGGAAAGTTTCAGATTTAAGTGTTTCTCACATGGAGAGCTTCATTCCCACCCCAATTCCGATTCCGTAATTCTGGTCTGGGGCCCAGTTTTGAGAAAACTCCTTTTTAAGAGGCTCATGACCACCCTCCCCCACAAGTTGTAGGCAAAATTGCACGTGGGCAGCATGTGGGTGGGCGTGTTGATGTTTTTATGGCAAGAAGAGCCATAGCACCCAGTCGGCATGGTTCACTGGTTGAGCATTGACCTATGAACCAGGTCACGGTTTGATTCTTGGTCAGGCCACATGTCCAGGTTGCAGGCTGGATCCCCAGTGTGGTGTGTGCAGGAGGCAGCCAATTCATGATTCTCTCTCATCATTGATGTTTCTTTTTCTCTTCCTCTCCCTTCCTCTCTGAAATCAATAAAAATATATTTAAAAAAAAGAAGAGCCATAGCTTTCATGATATCATAGCTCCTTAGAAAATATAGCTTATAATCAGGGACGCAGACAGGAATAAATATTTTGGATTATTGACAATAATGTCCGTATCAGCATCTCTTGACTGGCCATTGTTAAGACAAGGGGAGAGAACCCAGGAGGGTCTGTGAAATGGGAGAGGCACGACTCTGGGCGTTTATCTATCCAGCCACCTGTGCTTCCGTCATCTCTACTGTGCAGCAGACTACTGGAGCGGAAGTGACATAAAAGGCAAGTGGCTGCTTTCCTAACACTTCCGCTAGTAAATGCCAGGTTAGCTCTGAGACGGCCCAAGGGATAGGCTTGTTTCAGAAGTCTCCTGTGGCCCGGAGAGAGGTCGGATCCATGTGACTCATAATGACACTCAGAGAGATAGTCTAGGAGGGTGTTGTTCTTTTAAACCTTTTTAACCAGAGGTACAACCAGGAACCTCGACCCCCATCAGACCTGATCTGCCTTCTAGCTCTGGGCTGTGAGAGATAAGCAGCCATGTGAGCACACTCGGCCAGTTTCCCCCTCCGCAAACGAGGGGTGGGACTGAATGAGCCCTCAGGGCCGGCAGCAGTTCTCCCACAGGCTCCTCTGACACAGACCCCTCTCACCTGTAGTGGAAATGCACGGGAGTGAGGTGGCTGACGGCCGGCATGTAGGAATAGTAGAAGGAGCCATAGAGGAAGATAGACATCCAGATCAGGAGAAGGATGGTACAGAAGAACACTCCAAACTGCAGCAGCAGCTTGCGGGCACGGCCTGCCATGACATGGCCCACATCCTGAGCCCACTGCAAGGCAGGTACTGGTGGGTCATTGACCATGTTAAGGGGTGCAGCGGGTCTGGCCCCCGGTTCAGGCCTTGAGGCCCTAGCTGGTCCGCCACCTGGACGCCACCCCTGGCCATGGGATGGAGCAGCTGGTGGTTCCTGGAAAAAGACAGAGAGGAGGAAAAAATAGCTTCTTTTGGAGGGAGGTGGGGACAAAGGGACAAGGTTACTGGGCTGGCTTCTAAGAACCAGATATAGCAGAGTCTTTGTTTCACATGGCCTTTCTCCAAATGACTATTTTCAGCCAGTATCCCTCCCCTTTCCTCCACTGTGCTGTTCACACCCAGTGCCGAGGCTGCTCAAACTGGTCTTCCTGCTTCCCGATTCCGGGACAGGCCGCCTTGATACTCATTCACAACAATACAAAACATAGAGGGTGAGCACCTTAAGATTATTAAGGCGCTTTTACACACACGATACACTGAATGCACACTACGGGGTGGTTGCCCTGAGAGCAGGTGCGACGCGCCTGAAGTCGCAAAGCCAGACTCAAGAAGCAGCCGAAGCGCAGTCACAATTGCCTCCCGAGTTTCTCCTTTCCTGGAGCTGCACTCGTTCCCCGACGGGCCCGCGCCCCACGCCGGGCAGGGCGTCCCGCAGACTGTGGCCGCTCCCTGCCAGCCCCGTCCCGCTCGCCGGGGGCGCGGCGGCCACAGCCCCCACTCAACCCGCCGCGGTTGAAAACAGCAGCACGCCGGACGCCACCGCTCAGCGGACTCACCAGCATCGCGCGCTGCCGGGGCAACGGCGAGAGGGACTTCCGCATCCCGGGCACGCCCCGCCCCCTTCCGTCGACGGCCAATGCGGTCCGGGGGCGGGGCCTCGCCCGGGGAGGAGCGGGGGCGGGGTCTAGCAGAGGGCGGGGCTAGGCGCGGGGACTGCGCAGTCAGTCCGGACTGCGGGGCTCCCACCCACGCGTGCTCCTCGCTCTTCCCGCAATCCGGTTACCGGGCTCACGGGGACAGGCCCCCCTCCCGCCCCAAGACAGTCCCGGGCATCTTGTGAGTCAGCAGCATCCTCTGGGCCCGCCCTCCAGGCCGCACTCAGGCCCTGCGCCCACACCATCACCCGGGCCTTTTAGCTCCCCAAAGTGGGAGAGAGGCGGACCCAGCTTGCGTTGACTTTGGTCGCCCGGCCACAGCTCTTGGCCCGTGGCAGAGCACTCGCCAGAGCCGCAGTCTGCAGTCTGCGGGGATCTGCGTCTTGTGCTGCCCCAGCGCTCTGGCTGCCCGGGATCCACAGAGTGGTAGCATCCTGGGCCCGTGTTTTGCCTCGAGCACTCAAGATGCGGATCGACCTCCTCTGACCCCAACTAACTCTCCCTCTGAGTCCCCACAGCCATCAGCCAGCCTGGGCTTTGGAAGCTGTCATAGGTCCAGAGCACCTGTCTGAGGGGGGAGCCTGCCTGGCTGCAGCCCCTGGGGGGAGGGGGGCCTCTGGGCCAGACTCAGGGCGCCTAACAGGCGGGAGGGGCAGGTGCTGAGACAGGAGCGGGGCAGTGTGTGTGTGTGTGTGGGGGGGGGGGGAACTGTTGCGCAGGGGCTGCGGGCCTTCTGTTTTGTGTGTCTATTCACCCCAAATAAGAGCTCTCGGAGGGTAGGGTCAGTGTTGTGGGATCTTGGCATCCCCCACAGCACCAAGCACAACGATGCTGACGAAGGACCTAATCTCTCGGACCAATAACCCCCACCCCACCCCAGGCCCCATCTATTTCCAGAAACACCCAGGTCTCCCCCACAAGGTCCCTACCTCTACGTTGTCCGACACTTTGCGCCGTTCTCTGCACGCCTCCTCCGCAGAGCCCTCTCTCCGGCCTGCCATTTCTGTAGACGTTTCCCGAGGCTCCTCGCTGCTCCCAGATTTCCCGCTCGTGTTCTAGTCACTTGTGGCTAGAGCATGAAGCGGCGATCTGGAAGCTAATACCTGTAGCGCATCACATTTTCCTGGAGATGGGAAATGGAGGGTTCCTGGGAGAGAAATGAAGATTCACGTGATAAATGCTGTGTCAGAGCAGAGGGAGGAGCGGAGGATGGGGGCGACTGCCCAGCTGATGTCAGATTTCCAAATGAGCAGGGTGCCCCCAGCCGGTGCCCGGCCACTGCAGGGGCTCAGAGGTCCGGACCACCCGTTGCAGGGGGAGCCTGCCTGGCTGCAGCTCCCAGGGGAGAGGGCTCTGGGCCAGACTCAGGGTGCCTGCCAGGCGGGAGGGGCAGGTGCTGAGACAGGAGCGGGCGGGGGAGGGGGTGCGCAGGGGCTGCGGGCAGAGCCGGCTCCCCCGCGGCCCGGCACTTGGTACGCTCCAGGACCGAACCGCTCCTTCCAGCATCCTTAGTCCCGCAGGTACCAGCTGTCGGGGCAGCGCCTGAGCTCAGGAACTGGGACCAGCCCTCCGAGGAGCCCTGACCTGCCCGCCCCGGGGCCTCTGCACCAGCAGCTTCTGTGCCAGACGCTTTCTGCTGCAACTCCCCGCCAGGTGGGGCACCCACCCCGGCACCAGGCTCCGGTGCCCCCCACGGACCCCGTGCCCCAGGCCGCCGCTGCCTGTGGCCTCAGGTGAGCTGGGAGCACCCTGCTTTCCCCTGGGGTCGCTGGGGGGCAGGTGGGGACCAGGTACCCTGCCCATCAGGGCGGGGCTCCCTCTGGCTGAGGCGTTCCGGGCGGGAACGCATGGCTCCACGGGCTGAAGCTCCTGAAGTCGCGCATGTTGGGGGGTCGGTGTGGCCCAGGCTGTGTGGGGGTCTGGGGAGCACCTACCCGCCCCCCTTCATTTTCTCCGCGGAGGACGCCAGGGGTGGGGGAGGCCGCTGGCGGATGGGGATGGGGACGCGGGTGAGAATGGGGGAGAAGAGACGTTGGGCACATGACCCAGCCCTATGAGGGTGGGTGAGCGAGCATGGAGGGGCCTGGAGCGGAGTTTGCTCCGAGCTGCCCCGCCCTCCCCTCCAGGATGAAAGGGGAGACGCCTGTGAACAGCACCATGAGCATCGGGCAGGCCCGCAAGATGGTGGAGCAGCTCAAGATCGAGGCCAGCCTCTGCCGGATAAAGGTGGGCGAGCCCCGCGGGGTCAGAGATGCCGGTCCCCTGGCCCCCTGAGGCCGGGCGGGGCGGCTCCGGGCCCGGAGGGGTCCCGGGCTGTGGGAGTGGGGGCGGGCAGGCGGTCCGAGGGGCCGGGGGCGGCGAGGACGGCTGCGGGGCCCGGCGGCTACAGCCCCTCCCGGTGCCCAGGTGTCCAAGGCGGCGGCGGACCTCATGTCCTACTGCGATGCCCACGCCTGCGAGGACCCGCTCATCACCCCCGTGCCCACCTCCGAGAACCCCTTCCGGGAGAAGAAGTTCTTCTGTGCCCTCCTCTGAGCCGCCGCCCGCCCGGCCCTGGTCCCGCAGCCCCGCGTCCTCCTGCTGCTCCTGCTGCTCCTCCTCCCTCTCCGCCTCCTCCGCCTCCTCCAGCTCCTCCCCCTCCGCCTCCTCCGCCTCCTCCAGCTCCTCCCTCTCCGCCTCCTCCGCCTCCCCCCGCTCCGGCCCTCACTGGGGCGGTCCCCAGAGCCCAGGGCCCGTCCACGCCCCCCGGGCGCCCTCGCCCCGGCCCCGCCCGCCGCCCCGGTTGACCCGCGGGCCGGAGAGGGGCGGCCGGGCGGCTGCCGCCGCACCTGGGCAGCGGGCTGCGGGGAGGGGGAGCCATTGGAGAATAAAGTCACCCCAGCCTCCGGGCGCAGCCCTGTGTCCGCGGCCTTTGAGAAGGGACGTCAGTCAGGGGGGGCGCGGCCGCGGGGGCTGCGAGGCCGGGACTGGCCCTTCCGGGGGGCCGACACCCCCTGAAGCCGGAGATCGGGGGTGGGGCTCGGGGTGGGGGCGGTCGGGGGTGGGGTTCGGGGTGGGGGGCGGGCGCGAGGGCATCAGCGGAGGAGCCCAGTCACAGCGGCTCGGCGGTCACGGGAGACGCGCCCCGCGAAGGCGAGTGAGACAGAAAGCGACGAACCGAGTGGCTCAGGGAGGGAGCCGGCGGCGGCCGCCGACGCGAGGCGCCGGGGAGGGAGGGAGGAGCCCGGCGCCGGTTCCTGCCGAGAGGCCGGCCTCGCTCCTAAGATGGCCGCGCCCACCGGGCCGCTCCAAGATGGCGGCCGCCACGGGCTGGGGCGGCCCACGTCACCGCGCTCGGCGCTCCTCGACCGGCCCAGTCTTAAAATGGCGGCCCCGCCTGGCGTTCTCAGTATGGTCCCTTCCGCGCTCGCCTGCTCTCAAAATGGCTGCCCGTCCTCGCCACCTGGAGAGCCGCTCGCACCCGGCCCGGCCCGGCAGCCGACGCCCCCAGCCCCGGGGAAGGCGGGGGAGGCCGCACCCCGCGGCGGGCTCCGGGCCTGGCAGGCAATCGCGGTTCTCCAGTTGCCGGATGGCGGCCTCCCGGGAGCGCCTGGGTCTCCTCCCCAGGCGGCCTGCCCGCCCCACATGCCTCCCTGCCTCTCCCCCCGGGCGCAGACCGGGGCACCAGGCCGAGGCCAGCAGCCGCAGGATGCAGCCCCCCGGAGTGTCAGGCCCCAATCCAGGGATATATATATATGTGTGTGTGTGTGTGTGTGTGTATACACATATATACACATACATACACACATATACATACATACACACACATACATTTTTTGGGGGGGGTGCGGGAGGCCTCTGGTAATGGGAGGTGACCTGTGGACAGCCATCACCCAGGCCCCGCTCTCCCACGGGAAGCGAGGGGAGGGTAGTGCGGAGGACACGGCTGCCCTCCCCGGTGGAGACCTGGCCCTTTCCTGTTGGCAGCATCTCCCCGGAGCTGCTGAGGCCTGAGGCCTGGCGCATGGCGGGCCCTGGGCACCAAGAGCCGAGGGTGGCGCTGTGCCGGCCGGAATGGCGGGCAGGGCGGGACGACGCCGGGGACCTTTCTCTTCCTGCTGCCTCTGCGCTTGGCAGGGTCCAAGGAGTAAGTGAACATTTCCACTCCAGCTCAGACTGGTAACTGCTGGAGTGCTCAATAAATGTGATCTTGGTACTTAAGAAAAACAACAAACACCTCTGCTCAACTTCTCTGCCCACGGGTTTTCATACCCGCATACCAGGGGCCATGCCGCGGAGAGACAAGGCCTGAGCTGTGAACCAGCACTAAAGTGGTTACAACAGGCGGTAACCGCCCTGGAGAATGGCAGGCCCTGGGATGGAGGGGAGCCTCTGGGTGCCCCCGGTGGGCCCTGTCCGGTCCGAATTCATCCTGTAGCGGGAAGCCGGGCCGAATCCAGACCCATCACAGATCCTGCAGACACTGCGCACCCAGCCCTGGTGCGTCCCTGTGAGAAAGGACAATAGGACCAGTGCAGCTAGTGCAGTAGTGCGTTTGATTCTCCAAGTTCACTAGGAGACAACCCCCATCAAACACCCTCTGTGGAATGACTAGGCTTTACTCATAAGTGGCAATTACTCATGAATAAACTTATCTGGCTATAAATGAAATCTTAGGTTTCACTTCAAGCATCCAACTGGTTTTAGTATAGGGCCTATACTATAGGCCAAATACAGAGATCTGAAATTATTTGTTCTCTTCTATTCCAATGGCTCAAGCTCTTAGCATAAGCAAGCACTGAGTAGGCCAGCAACCCGGAGTGAAGGCATGGCTGGCACCCAAGTGAAGCCTCGATTGAGTAGGAAGGAATCGGCCATCCATGAGGAAAGCCATCCTTGGTTGGACCCAGTGCGACTGGAAGCAGCATCTAAAGTAAATAAACCCCCCAGATGACACGCTCCACCCCTCAGTACAGCCACAGGACAGAGAATGAATTCAATCCAAATGGTTATTTATTCTAAAACTGGAAGCTACTGTGCCTACAGAGTTGCCAGAATGTTGTAATGAGAAGGGGGGGGGGGAGTTACAGATGTAAACAATGACACAGTTACATTTGTTTAAAAATGGTAAAACCCTTTTTTACTGGCCACTTCCAAGAACGCTTTACAGGTTGTGCAGAACATTTACAGGCGCCATGTGCTGTTTTTCTCACAAGCGTTTCCATCTACAACTACAACAGAGGTCTGATAAAACACTAAAATCTTATAAGGAAAACAGGCTAGGGATCCCTTCTGTTAATCCACATTTGCCCCCTTAACATTTTTTTTTTAATAATAAGAAGACAGAAACAAAACCGACACCTAGTGTTGCTGTGAGTGCTCAGATTAAACCAACAAGGACGTGGCAGTTTCACTTTCCACCCACCTAGAAAAACAGCTTTTTTTATTGTTGTTGTAAAGGTGACTTTCTAGTGTCAAAATTTAACAGCAAGTACCTCCTCTAATCCTCCCTCCCCCTCAGAAACCCAAAGGGTCGGAGTTTGTCCCCTGGCCCTGAGGGCCAAGCATCTGCGTGTCACAGACCACAAAAGGATGCTCCTTGCTGGAGGGCTAGATATTTAAAAGGGGTGGCAGTTTCTGCCTCAGATTTCATTTTCTATTATAACATGATCTTGCCCTAAGAGAATTTCTTTGGGCTCCAGTTTTCACCTCCTTGGCCTGATACTATGAGCAAAGCTTCTCAAAACCCCCTTAATAAAAAGTTAGTGGGTTACAGAAAAGTTCATGCAATCACTTCACCCACTGCCACACACAAATCCATTCGACGGCACCACAAAAAAAGCAGTGTCCAGAGAAGACATCGTGAGCAAGCAAAGTTACTTCTACCAGCCCCCAGTCCAGCCCCGGGGGGGTCAGAGGGGCCTGTGGGACAGAGGGTATCACAGACAGGCAATAGAGCCAGACGAGAGCCTGCAGACCCAGAGAAGGGCTGCATGGTGGTCACAGTGGGAGAGGGTGAGAGATCCAATCTCGGCACAAAATTTTAAACACAGAACTGCTCAGGTGAGGAAATGGAGGTGAAGCTTTTTCTAGTAACACTACCTAGGATCTTGCCTCACCAGGAAGCGCTGCAACATGTGGTATTTGCTGAAAAAGCTCTTGGCGGACTCCATGCTGAGCTGCTGAGCGGGAAGATGGATTAAAACGGAAGCTACATCTGAAAGAGCATCCCAAAGCCCACCATATCCCTGAACCCGGGCCCTGAAGCTGTCAGGAACTGGGAGGGTGTTGGTAAAGTTGCAAAGACCATCCCAACTGAAATCTCTTGGCTAGAGGCCTCTCTGGGGACACGCAGGTCAAGCACCCCAGAAGGAATCTTGTTTCAAGAAGTCAACAAGGGGCGCCCTTTCATGCACACATTACACACATTCACTCCCCCCAACCTGCGGCAGCCCCACTGAGCTGCCTCCCACCCCCCACCCTCCCCTGTCTAGTCACTGTCTACCTGTGTATCAAAAAGACCAGCGGGCTGTGCCCTCCATACTGTATAAAATAGTTGCTATTCTCAGCACCTGGGCCTGGCAGGCCACACCACAGGACTCACTATATACATATCCGGCTGCCATGAAAAGAATCCTGCTTCATTTCTGTGTGAGCGGAAACCCTGAGAAACGTTCCTTCTCTTGCACTTTAAGAGGACAGATACTCTAACAGAGATGATTTCAGAGACTTCATGCCTAGCTCAACCTTGGAAGACAGGACAGACTGACGATCACCATCTTCAGGCTGAGACCTGCAATCCCATCCTCCCCCAAGACTTGATGGGAATTCATTAATGGGTACAGAGAGGGTGCAAGCTATTCTGCTGTGTGAACAAGCACAGCCCCCTGCCTCCTTAGCCTGGGAGTCCTATATAATACACCCATCAATGGGTGGTCTCCAGGCCTCAGCCAAACAGCACGAAGGCACAGGGAAGTGGAGACTATGCCACTGGCCTCCCAGCCCACCAGACCAGATATCCCAGGAGGGAAAGGTTGGTAAAGAAAATACAAACGGTTAGTTGGTGCAAGTGATTGATAAGAGCCAATCGTTTATTTCACTGCCCCAGTCACAAGCTCTCCCTCTGTCCCACTCCTGCCTGCTACGGAGAGTGCCCTCACGTGCTCGCTCCCCCTCCTCCACACGCCTCCTCACTCTCCCTCGCATGGCTGTGTCAAAGGGTGACATTTCAGTCCTTTTCCTGTCCACTGCAGGGTATAGGACAGGCAGCCCTAAGTGCTGCTTTCTGAGCAAATGTTTTTTGATTACAAATATCTAACTAGGTTTGAAATGTTTTATAGAATAAGACAATATTCTTTTCAACAAACTTTAAAAAAAATGTACAGTTTTGTTGTCTGTTTCCACCTCCCCCCTCCCCCACCCCTGCTTGCGCACCCTCCCTCCCACCACCCCTCCCCGGCAGCTCAGCCCCACCCCGACAGCCCCTGTTTTCCTTGGTTGTGTTTTGGGGGATGGCTGGCACCCCCAGAGATTCAGCTTCATGGCTGACAGGTGACAAGGCAGAGGCTTCACCGATACCCTTGGTAACCGTAGTAGTTCCGGTAGTATCGGTCTCTGTCCTGGGGGTGGTGGTAGTAGTAATTCTGCCACTAGAAGAGAGGGGAACCCCGTCACCTGAGGCCACAGCTGGCTGAGGACCGAGAGGCGCGACACCCGGCCCTCTGGCCCTGCCCCCCTTCACCCTCTCTATCCCCAGAAGATACTCACATCCCGATTGTACTGTCTGTAATAGTCTCTGTATCTGTTGTACTCATAATCTCGGCTATAGAATCGATCATAATCTCCCCGGTATCGGTCGTAGAAATTACGGTAACCCTGAGAAAGGAGAAAGAGGAGTGAAGACTTATGGGTTTCCGGTATCCCGATCCACTGCCATCCCCGTCTTAAATGAAACACACCTCAGCTGGATTTGGTAACAGACTTAATCTTCCCAGGTTAATTCTTCCAGAGGAACACATTACACGGGCACAAGCTCAGCCCTGAGAAAACAGCCCAAACCACTCTGCTCCCCCAAGCCAATAGGAATGCTAGCACGGCCCAGAGGAGGAGCAGGAGAGCTGCACTCACCCCTCTGTTTCCAGACTGCCCCCAGTACTGCTGCCCGTAGGCCCGGTTGTCGTAGCCTCGGCGCTGCCCGCCCACTGGAAGAGAAATGGGAGAGCGCGCTCAGACAGCTGGCGTGGGGTCCTGGCTCCAGGGCTGAGTGGAAATCAAAAAGTTGGAGCCCAAGGCAATTCTGGGAGAATAGGAGGCCTGCTTCTGTCAGGCTCACGCAAGGTTAATTACAGCACTAGCCAGGATCTCTTAGAAAGTCTGAGGGGGAAGGCAGAGGAATAGCGACACAAGAAAACCAAGCCACCTTGCTTTTGAAGCTCCCCAATTCCTGCAGAATACTTCAGATGGCAAAAAAATACTCGGCAGAGTTAGGAACATCAGTAAATACTGCCATTCACAGAACCACTGACTTTCAATCCTGGGAGGGATCTCAGGGGTGATGTAACCCCGGCCCACCATCTTGTACAAACAGAACGAAGTCTAAGTGACCAACTCCTCCAGCGTAGGCACTGTTGGTATTCCCAGTGCCTAGCATGTAACAGGCATGCAAACATTTTATTGACTTGCAAACACGCAAACACACACACACATACATATTTTTAAAGGTCAGTGAATGCACAGTGGAAGGTTAACTGATAAGCTGGACATTCAAGAGGGATATTAATTCCATTAGTAGCCTAATTTACTTTGTAGCCCCCCCGAATTACTGAATAATGCATTCACTTCCTGGTCTATAGGGTTGGGTTGATCCACCAGAGAGACAGAGCATGAAGAAAACTTAAAGTGAGGATCCAATTTCACTGCACAAATCCTTTAGAGATGAGGCAACAGTGAGGTGGGAAACCTACACATACAAGTGAAAACCAGACTAAGGAGCAGGCCCAAGCACTGCTTTTCACAGAAGCAAATATCTGTGTTGAAAAATAACCACCTTGTACAGAAAGGTTATGGAAAAAGCACAAGAAGCTGGGGTTAAAGCCACAGGAAGAAATATGCTCCATAAAGAAGTCACTTCCTTATTCCTGGTTAGTGACTGGACTTGGTTTCCTTATGGAAAAGGTAAGCTGCTCAGCACAAAGCACAGACCGGGGCCAGGGGCTGGCTGGCCCCCAGGACTCACCATAGCCTTGGCCTTGGCCTCGGCTTCGGTTCTGCCGGTTGCGCTTGTTTCGATTGTTTCGGCGGTTTGTCCGTTTCTCAGAGGGGGGCAGCAGCTTCCTTGCCTCCTCCTTGTACTTAGTGACAAGAGGCTGCGCTTCCTCCTTCTCCAGCTCCCCGTATGTCACCTCATCCATGTAGTCGCATTTTTCAGGCAAAGAGAAGTTGGCTGTAAGAGTAAGAGAGAAGCTTGTGGGCCTGAAAAGTACATTATAAAAACGATCTCATTATAAAAACTATTTCAGGAGGAATGAGATTTCCTAAGCTCCTACTAAATGCACAAAAGTACTGGTACTTTATCTACCATAGGCTTTCCCTAAACTGTAACAGCCACAGGCAAAGGGCTGCTGTAAGTGGTAGATGCACAAGTTCTCAAGTGATCCATAATAAATTAGGAGTCAACTGGGTTAAGGTTTCTTATCAGGACTGAAGCAGGGAGCCAGAGGCTAAAAGTAACTGAGTAAGTTTTGGTGTTGGTTAGATAAGACACTAAGAAATACAAGTTCAGAGGCTGAGTCCCAGTGGGATTCAGTTCAGTGGGGGCTCTCTGAATTCTTAGATGAATCCAGTTAACCCTCTTGAACTGAATTCCTCCAACTGCCAGTCAGTTAAGGACTGGCATAGTTCATTCTGGCTAAACTCGGACACTCTGCTCTTAGATGTGTAACCAGCTCCCATCCCTGGGTGTTGAAAATCGCACTCTGAAGGGAACAGCAGGATGTGGGATCAATCAGGACAGGTAATTCCGCCTCACAGGGACTTTGCTATAGGCTTTGTATTGCATTAAAGATTTCAGGCTCCTACCAGAAACCAAAACAAGCAAGCCTAATGTGTTATCAGAAATCAAGACATAATGAGATCATTCAATCCAACCACTGTATTTTCATTTGAATCATAATACTCCTCCCACCCCCGAATATAATTGACTAAAGCAGAGCTTCCTTTCGTTCACAATTGCCCTACATCTAGAATAGTGCGAGGCAAGTAGAGAGTTTTAACTACCCTATGGTCAATCACTATTGTATCTTACCCAGAATGACCAAGGCTACTGCTTCTCCTTTCACTCTGCTCAGCCCTTTACCTACAAGCACGCACATCCGCTAATTTACTCTGCAGGCTGACACTTTAGATGTGGAGGATCCCTCCCGGGCTGAGAGCCTAGCGAGGTGTGCGCTGACCAAGGACAATGCCTGACTTGCGCGGTTTCTGCCCACCTTTCATCTCCAGCATGATGGACTCAGGCACATCATCCCCCTCCACTTCCTTCCTCCACTCCAGCCTCTGCTTCCAGTCCTCCTCGCTCGGGACAACCACCACCACTTTCCGAGAGAACGTCTTAAACAGCAGCAGTTTCCGCCGTTGGCCGGAGTTGTACACGTTACACTAGGGACAAGAAAAGAAATCATCAAATTCAATGAAAACACTTACTGAGCACCCTTTACAAATGAGGCACCAGATTAGGAGCCTTACGCACACAACCTCCTTCGATTCTTTAAACTCCATATGACAGATATTACTGGGTTTTACACATCAGGAAAATCCACTCATTGAGGCCAAGACTTGTCCAAGGTAACACACCTATCAGTGGGGAAGCCAGGAATCCCTAGGGGCTAATGCTCTTTTCCGGCCTCAAGGATGTGCTTCCCACTCTGGCCTCATATGCTCTCAGGTGAAACCTAACAGAAGACCTCTCTGAGTTCAAAAGACATTACAACAATAACATCCAACCTTTTGGTCATAATTAAGTAAACTGATTCTGTTCCTTAACTCATTATCTTTCTACAAATGCACCCCACTTTGACTCTAGGCAATTGTATCAGATTAAATGGATGCCGAAATTTTCATCTTGGGATTTTCTGTAAAATGAGGTTTCTTCGGAATGTCTGAACAATACCTGATCGAGAATGAAGTTCCTCTTTGTCCGGGAAGCAATCTGGACCAGTTTACTAAGGCACTGGGAGGCTTGCTGAACTAAAAGGTCTCGGCTTTTGGGGTCCATTTCTGGCTCCTCAAGCCCCTTCATCTGATGAGTTTGAGAGGAAAGGAAGAGAAACGCAAGAAGTTATACAGCAAGTTAAAGCCCAAGAGTCATAGGTAACTGTCACTTCTTTAAGGCCACCAAAGCTGTCACATCAGTTCATTCCCACTCCTCAGTGCAATGAATGTTGTCCATTTTATGCAGGAGTCATTTCTAGTCTTAATCTGAATACATTCCGGATTTTATCATCTTTCAGAAATATGACAACACAGCCAAGAAGAAGAAGAAGAAAGAAAAAAAAAAAGCCCTCCCTTTAACATGTATTGAAAAGAATTCATTTCTCTATTTGTGTTGTCAGACACTTGAAAGACTAACTACTGGGAGAAGGTTATAGGATCATCTTTATACCTTCAGTGCGAATACCCAGTTGATTCATCTCTTGCAGCAACTCACCCTCATTTGACTGAGGACAGTCTCAGCTCCCAGGACATTGTATCTTTTCTCAGGGTTTTCTTTTGAGTATTTCAGTGCCCACTGAGTCTTTCCAGATCCGGGCAGTCCCACCATCAGAATCACCTGCAAACAAACAGAACCAGAAATGCCATAAAAAATAAGCAAGGCTGGTGTGTAAAGCCCACTTTAGTAATACCCTCCCTCCCTTGCCCCAGGTCAGAACTGTGAGAAGAAAAGCCACACCTCCCCACCCCCATCGCTCCACAGCATGAGCACTAAGCCCCCTGCACACCGTGCTGCACACCTCACACTCCTCTATGGTCTTCGGGGGGACCGCAGTGCGCACACGCTCCTCCACAGGCACAGCGTGGATGAACACAAACTCCTGTGGTGGCGGGAAGAAGGGCTCCTCCTTCTGACCAAAGTTTAACTCTACGACACAATTTTTGCAGAGGACATGGGGCAGGAGCGCCCGGTCTGCCAGGAATTCCTTGTTGATCCGGAATGCCACACCAAGGTCTTCTCCGTTCTTGGAAAAGGAAAGTTCTACTTCTTCAGTCTCAAAATTCTACAATGACAAAAGACAGTAGCACTTATGGGCTTGTAGGGTTTGAGGCTGATTGAATCTTACAATTTAACCTTTAAGCGATACATCAAATACAGGCCCTCTGCCCTCTCCCTGCTGGGAATCCAGGAGCACTTACAGCAAAGCAGCCAATGACATCATTCTCCCCGAAAGTTTGGCCAAATTCCTCAAATTGCCCATTCTCTGCCTTGAGTCCTCGTCCATCAAAACCATAAGAGAATTCATCCTCACCTAGAATAGTGAACAACTTAGTTACCTCCACCCAAACGTCCCATGGAGCAAGCAATATGGTACAAACATTAATGATAAAGTTAAAGTGACTTTACCAAGCTGTGGGTGGGAAAAATCAACAGACCATCCCACTCGAAGAAGAGAAACCTCTGTGCAGCCTTCTTTCATCGGGAGGTTCTGGGTTACCTGGCCAGGTCAGAAAAAAACTCTCAGATACTATGGCCAACTCAGAAGCAAAGTTTGTTAAAAAACAACAACAAAAGCTATTTATTTATTTAATCTTCACTCAAAGATATGTTGTTATTGTGTTTGGAGAGAGGGAGGGAGAGAGAGAGAGAAACATCACTCAGTCACTTCCCACATATACTCTGACCAGGAGTCAACCCAGGTATGTGCCCTGACTAGAACTCAGACCTACAGCACTGTGTACAGGATCACGCTCCAATCAACTGAGCAGCAAGGCCAGAGCAAGACAAGATTTTTATGCAACCTGAAAAGGACAACTATCACACCTTGGCATCAGAATAACAACTGCCAATGAACTTAAACCAAAGCCCTGGGAAGAAAATTTCTTGATTACTGGAGCTAAGGTTATCATTGAAGCGTGGGGCCTTTTTCTCCGCTAATCAAACACTGGTGGGCAGGAGTCCGTACATAGGAGTTTAATGAGTGAATTAATAAATGAACGGTCTTAACGAGCTGTACATACTACCTTGGCCTCAAAGCAGACTTTCCCCTTTGTCACTCCATAAGTACTCCTTGCCCCAGACCACAGGGTGGGGAACTTCTCTGAGAAAAGTGGCTGCCCTCCATAGCGGTCTTTGCTCACTTGAAAGTGGAGATCAGAGGTATCTGTTAAGAAAGAAGCAATCTGTTAACACTTGAAAGCCACCAACAGCACATACTCAGTTACCCAGTTATCAAGAATGGATACAAAATCCATCATGTGCTAAATCTCTTAAAAACTGCAGGCCATGAGATGTTACTCTCCAGAGTCACGTCTGATTGGTTAAAACCCCAGCCTGTCTGCCTCATACATACACGTGTCCAGGTTCACAAGAGTGTCATCTTCTTCCTCCTCTTTTGCCTCTTCTTCAGGGGGCGGTGGAGACTTGGAGCTACACACATAAGGGAAGAGCAAACATAATGTAACCAAAGCCCTCCGCTCAGAGGGCGTCTGCAGGGCATGGTGTCTGTTTTAAACTCTAAGCGAATATAAATGCCAGCAGACAGCTTCTTTCAGTAAACGAGAAAAGGGCAACAGGAGCTTTCAGAGTAGATTCGAGCTAAAACTTACGCCTATAAAAACCTATTCCATTTTTAATCCACCCCTCTTTCCAACTCTCCAATCAACACCAGGTACACCGAAATCAGAGCAGACACTCCCTTCAACGAAAGGGACTGTTTCCCTCACCGGCTGTGGTAAGCCTCCTCTCGGAATTCATAGTAAGCTCGGCCATGTTCATCCTTCTCATCCCGCTGTCTCTTTACCCCCCGCCGCTCACCATCTGAGCCTGCTGGTTTTGACTTTTCACTATCTTGGTCATCTCCTACAAAAAGGAGGGAAAGAAAATCAGCAGTTTTCATATTGGAGTGTAGCATAAGCTCAGAACCTACAGAAACTAAAAGGGGGGTCTGAGTATCTGTCCCATCAGAATAGCCAAATGAATCCCACTGCATCCACAGAACATTGCATTCCCAAAGATCATCTTCCTACATTGGCTGAAATTGTACTTAGTTTTTAAAGTATACTATGGGCTAATTACAGTCAAGCAATAGACATAAATTGGACAATTTGTGCATTCTAAATTTATCTGCTTAAATCAGGTCAAACTTGCAGCTTTCCCTAACAATATGACATTAAAAAAAAACAAACTTCATTGCTTAATTTAATTTTGATTCTTAATGGTCAGATTCGGATTTAAGCTAGACACAAACCATATTTCCCAACACTTTTCCACAGCTTTACGATAGAGAGCCTCAATTGAGAAAAACAAGGAGTTTGCTTCTCCAGCTTTAAAATGCACAGCCATCCACAGATTTACTTCCATAGCAAGTGTGGAAGGGGGCATGGCACCGAGCTGCATTTTTATCATGGATTTTTCCTGGAAGTTGTGAGAGCTAAACCATTCATTCACAAGAGGCACTCTTTTAATACTGCAACTTTACTGCACGTGATTTGGGGGCAGAAAGGTGCTATCAGATATTTAACAACATTCTCTACTAGAGGAAATAAAACCCAGAAGAGTTTTTCCTTAAGCCTCTGTAGTTTTCAATACAAAGGTTTTTAAATAATCATTAAGGCAGTCTCTTATTCCTTAACCTTTTTTATTTTATTTTCCCCCATCACCATATATTCCCTCTGTGCCCTCTTCTACCTCTTCCTCAACCTTTTTTTATCTGCTATTTGGGGTACACAATATGTCAAAGGTTATGTAATGGGATTGTTGTTCCAGGACGTAGGCAAACAATCTTCAAGTTGCACGTGATTATTGTAGAATGGGTTCCAATGGACACCATGATACTAAGTAGCAGCCTAAACAATGTATTAAGAACTAAGGCCGCAACCCACTTCACAGAACTCTCGCTTTCCTCCTTATTCTGACACATAGTTACGGGCCAGCTTAACCATCCAATTACTTCAAAGGAAGGCAGGTGACTAACTCCCTGGGGCAACTAAACACGTTCCCTTCCCCAAGGTTACTTGATGGGCCCACCAGCACCTCCGCCGTTTCAATGCAGTTAATGGGGGAACTGAAATCTAACAGGCTAAGCGTGCACCAAATTTACAGACCTGTCCGCCCACCAACTAAGCGGGAAGATTACATTTTAATCATGATTCAGGCAAGGCAATAGCCCTAGCAGGCTAACTGACTTATTCTAAATGCGCTAGATAAGACTTCTCTTCACTAGTTAACTATTAAACTCGACACCGTCACGCCACAGGCTGTGCCCCGCCGCCGCTAGCGCAGGAGCAAGGTGAGATCGCCAGATTCCGGGCGGCTCAGGCTCTCCCCCCTGGGCGTCTGATGGATCGAACTCGGACGAATTTAGTTACGGGCTTCCTATTTCTATGGCGAAAAAGCCAACAGCCAGCCCAGAGGCCAAAGCCTCCCACAGGCGGCCTGGCTGGCCCTGGGACTGCCAATGCCCCCGTGCATTCCCGGTTTAGGGAAAGGTAACCGGCCCCGTGGGGGCTGCTCCACAGGTAGCTCCCAAGCCGTTCGCATGCACCACCGCTCACTTCCATCCGCCAACGATCCGAGCCAGGCAGGGGCCCCCCCTCCTGCAGAGTGGGGCCACCCAAGGCGGCCAAACCTCCCGGAAAGGTGCGGAGAGAATACACGCCACCTCCCCCGGGGGATCCCACCAAATGGCGAAGGGAATCCTGCACTTCTGGGCAAGCGAGAACAAGGGATCGGACCCCGGGGTGCGGAACTGGTGCTGGGGACGAGGGCGCACCCGGCAGGCGGGAGCCGGGCTCCGCTGCCGGCACCTCACCCTGTTCCTCTGCGGCCTTGTCACCCGGCGCCTCGGATCCCGGCGCTTCGTCCCCGCTCCGCTCCTCCGGCTCGTCTTCTTCCCCTTTGCCGGTGCCCTGCTCTTCGCCACCATTGACGCCACCTGACTCGGCCATGGCCTCCTCAGCCGGCTTCTCGGAAGCATCGGGCTCGGGCCCGGGCCCGGGCTCGGGCTCAGGTTCGGGCTCGGCCTCGGCCTCGGCCTCGGGCTCAGGCTCAGGCTCGGCCTCGGCCTGGGCCGCGGCCTCCACGGCTGCCTCCTCCGGGGGCTCCGGCGGCGGCTGCGAGGCCTGGTCCGAGGCCTGGGCGGGAGGTGGCTCTTCGTCCTCGTCCTCAAGCAGCGCCTCCTCGTCCTCCTCCTCCTCTTCGTCCTCCTCGTCGTCCCCGCCCGGGCCGCCGCCCGACGCGGCCACAGGCCGAGGCTCCGCCTTGCAGGCCCCGCCGGGCACGGCCCCGCCACCACCGGCCTCGTCCTCGAGCATCTCGGCGTCCAGCGCCTCCTGCAGCCGCTGCGCCAGATCCACCTTGAGGCCGCGCGAGTCCAGGCCCCGCCGCTGCAGCTCCGACCGCAGCTCGGTCACTTTCAGCCGCTTCACCTCCATTGCCGCCGCCGCCTCCTCCGCCTCCCGCTGCCTCCTCCCCTGCGAACCGACGACCGAGCACGACCGCGCAGGCGCCGCCGCCGCCCGCCTCCGCTTCACGCGCCAGCACTGAGCCCGCGCGGGCGAGCGCACGCACGGACGCACGCAGGCGGCGAGGGCCGCGCGCAGCCTCTACGGCGGTTCTCCTCTCGGCTCCCCTCCCTTCCGCGGCCCCGGGAGCCCAAAACAACGCAGCGGGGAAATGTCTCCCTTCCTGCAGCCGCTTCCCTCTGTTCCCAGCCGCGGGCGGGCGGGCGGGCGCGCGCCGAGGACGACGGACTTCCCTCCCTTCGCCTCCCGCCCCCTCTCGCGGGCCGGCCAATCGCCGGCGGCGTTTCACTGCGCAGCCGCGCCGGCGCTGGAGACGGGAGAGACTGGCTGCCGCTCAAGTGCCTCGTTGCATGGAGGCGAGTGCGCGCCCTTTCCGTACTTCCAGCCGGGAACTGCGCTGCCGCCCGAACCTCCCCTCCCGCACGCCCCTCCTACCCCGCCACCACCTTCACTCGGTCTGACTTCCGTTCACGCTTTCCTCTTGGGCTTGCTCACTAGTCTCTTTTTCTGTCTAAGCGTGCAGCAGCTTCTTAGGAGTTAAAAAAAAAAGAAGAAGAAGAGAAGTTGTTGCAACGTGAAAGCCTCCTAGGAATCGTCTTTCTGGCCAGTAAACCATAGGGCTCTCCAAAAAACAAGAAATACAGTGACCTCTTGCTCCTTCCCAACCCTCAATTTCTCCCTAGCAACAGATGACCGAACCTGGCCCTGTAGCTAGTCTATTGGCCAACTTGAATAGTCACCTGCAATTTTGATTGGTCACCCGTGATAGTCCGAATTTTTCCAATTGGCGGAGCTGCCATTGGCTCCCCCCCCCTCTTTGGTCCGCAGAGGAAGCCGGAGAGGCCGCGTCGCTTCTGCGGGATTACTTTTCTGGGGCCGCCCCTCATTGGGCGGCGTGGTGCGCTGTAGACAACAAACTGTCAGGGGGCCGGACCCTGTCCTCTGGGTGCTCCCACCCGCAATCGGAAACCCAGGGGCCGACTTCCGGGCCAGGGCCCCCCGCACAGCGCAGGGGGCTGGCCGCGGGGCTCAGAGGACTCGCAGCTGCTGCTCGGCCGCGGGGTCCGTCGCGGCCTTCGGGCCGTGGGGCACGGGCCACTGTCGCCTGGGTTTCCCAGCTCCGGGCACAGACACCCACGCGTTCTTCTTGAATATACGTGCGAATCGGGAGTCGTGGCGGAGGCAAGTCCTTTAAACTGCTCTCAGCAATGGCCCCCGCCTCCTTCCTTCCACTTCCAGGTCGGGGAGGTGTGTCCCAGGGAAAGGAGGAAGCATGTTCCGCAGCTGCCCCAGCTCTTAGCGAGCCCTTTGCGTTTTCGGGGTCCCCTCGCTCCAGAAAAGTCACACAGTCTCTGGCTTTCCTCGCCCCACACCCGCTCACGGGCTAGTTTCCTGCGCTGCCTGCGATCGGAAATGCTTCGGGAGGAAGGGAGGGGCCGTGGTAGAAGCCAGCGGAGCTCGCTCCCTGCAGGCCCCGGCGAGAAGGGCAGCTTCCTGCCGTAAGTCGGCCTCCAGGCCCGTACCGTTGCTCCCCCCGCAGAGCTTCAGCGGCCCTCCCCCTCCCCAGCCCCGCAGGACCGCTGGGCGGCGGAGCTATGGACAAGCGCCTGCGGGAGGCTCAGCTGTACAAGGAGGAAGGGAACCTGCGCTACCGGGAAGGGAAGTACCGAGATGCTGTGAGTAGGTACCATCGGGCTCTGCTTCAGCTGCGGGGTCTGGATCCCAGCCTGCCCTCCCCGATACCCGACCTGGGACACGAGGGCCCGGCCCTCACGCCTGCACAGGAAAGCATGCTGCACGCCACCCAGACAGACTGCTACAACAACCTGGCGGGTAAGGACAGGGCCCAAGGGTGGGCAGGGTAACCAGGCAGGCACATAAAAATCTGTGAACGTAGAGAAAAACACTGACGGACTTTCCTGCTGTCATCCAGTTATTCTGCCAAAAATGGAAATATAGGTCCCCTGCCCGGGTGGCTCAGTTGGTTAGGGCATGTTCCTGATGAGCCAAGGTGGCAGATTTGATGCCAGGTCAGAGCACATACAAGAAGAAACCAATACAACCAATAATGCATAAATAAGTGGACAACAAATCGATCCCCCCTCCTCCTATCCACCATCCTCTTCTTTTTAAAATAAATAAAAGTGCCAAAACCGGGTTTGGCTCAGTGGATAGAGTGTCGACCTGCGGACTGAAGGGTCCCGGGTTGCATTCCTGTCAAGAGCATGTACCTTGGTTGCAGGCACATCCCCAATAGGGGGTGTGCAGGAGCAGCTGATCAATGTTTCTAACTTTCTCTCCCTCTCCCTTTCTGTAAAAAAAACAATAAAATATATTTTAAAAGTAAATTTAAAAAAATAAAATAAAGTTTAAAATCTTTTATAAAATATATACATATATATTTAAATATATTTTATTTGATTTTTTACAGAGAGGAAGAGAGAGGGATAGAGAGTTAGAAACATCGAGGAGAGAGAATCATTGATCAGCTGCCTTTTGCACACCCCCTACTGGGGATGTGCCCGTAACTAAGGTACATGCCCTTGACCAGAATCAACTTGGGACCTTTCAGTCTGCAGGCCGACGCTCTATCCACTGAGCCAAACCGGTTTCGGCTATACATATATTTTTTCCCAATTTATAGGGCTCTAATTGAGTTTCTCCTAGCAGTTCTCAAACATCACCTGGAGGGTTTGTTAAACACAACTCCCGGGTCCCACCCCCAGAGATTCGGATTTAATGGGTCTCAGGGGGTGCCTACTATTTGTTTGCATTTTCTAACCGAGTCTCTGGTGATGCTGATAGATTTAGGAAATTTTGCACGCAATGGAGAAAATACCGAGTTTACATAGAAAGGAAGGCATTTTAAAAATCCATGTTCTGCCGAAACCGGTTTGGCTCAGTGGATAGAGCGTCGGGTCTGTGGACTGAAAGGTCCCAGGTTTGATTCTGGTCAAGGGCATGTGCATTGGTTGCGGGCACATCCCCAGTGGAGGGTGTGCAAGAGGCAGCTGGTCGATATTTCTCTCTCATCAATGTTTCTAGCTCTCTATCCCTCTCCCTTCCTCTCTGTAAAAATCAATAAAATATATTTAAAAAATAAAAGTAAAATAAAAATAAAAAACCATGTTCTTATTGTTTTCTGAGAGAGGAAGAGAGAGGAAGAGAGATAGAACCACCAATTCTGAGAGAGAATTCTATATCTCCCTCTGGGGATCCAGTGGGAAACCCAGGCATGTGCCCTGACCAGGAATTGAACAATAACCTGGTTGCATGTACTTTGGTTGCGGGCACATCCCCAGTGGGGGGTGTGCAAGAGGCAGCTGATCAATGATTCTCTCTCATGTTTCTGACTCTATCCCTCTCTCTTCCTCTCTGTAAAAAATCAATAAAAATATATTTAAAAAAATAAACATGTATTCAAGTAAGGGAGACGAACATGAAAACAAAAATAACACATAATTTTTAGAAAATGGTAAGTATTGTGGAAAATAAATAAAGCAGAAAATGGGGACAGTGAGTGCCACAGGCATGCGAGTGCTCACTTTTTTTTTTTTTATGCGAGTGCTCACTTTTAAGGGGTTGGGGGAGGAGAGTTCATTGAGGTGACATTTACAAAATACCCGGGGCAGACCTTTAAGCCCTTTATACATATGAACCTAGTTAAGAGTCACTTGGAGGTAAATTTAAGGAACAAACAGCTAGTAACTGGTAGAGCTAAAATTAAACCTAGGCAATTCCTTTTTTTTATTATTATTGATTTCAGAGAGGAAGGAAGAGGGTTCGAGAGAGAGAAACATCAATGATGACAGAGAATCATCAATTGGATGCCAACTGGGGATCAAGCCCACAACCTGGGCATGCGCCCTTGACCGGAATTGAACCTGGGACCCTGCAGTCCACAGGCCGATGCTCCATCCACCAAGCCAAGCCAGCCAGGGATCTTTTATTTATTTTTTTTTCAATATATACTTTTATTGATTTCAGAGAGGAAGGGAGAGAGAGAGAGGAGAAAGATAGAAACATCAATGATGAGCCCTGGCCGGTTTGGCTCAGTGGGTAGAGCTTTGGCCTGGAGACTAAAGGGTCCCCAAGTTCCATTCCAACCAAGGGCACATGCCTGGGATGCAGGTCCGACCCTCCCCAGTAAGGGGTGTGCAGGAGGCAGCCAATCAATGATTCTCTCTCCTCTCTGAAGTAAATGAAAAATAGAAAAAGTAAAAAATTATGACTCATTCTGGGAGTTGAGTATGACCACATGGTGGGGGTGTTGGAGAAGGAATGCAAACATCAGGGGTTTAATGTTCTCATCGGCCCTGATTCTTGGTTCTCAGCACTATGATGTAATACTATGTTTAATTCCCACAATCCTTTGAGGTAAATTCAAGGAATTTAATAGGGAAATATTTATGAAATAGAGGAACATTTCAAATTTTTTTATGTGTTCCAGTGCTTTCTGGGAATCTTTTTTTTTTTTTTTTTTTTTTAATGATTTTGTACAGAGAGGAAGGGAGAGGAATAGAGAGTTAGAAACATCGATGAGAGAGTCATCGATCAGCTGCCTCTTGCACACCCCCTAATGGGGATATGCCCGCAACCAAGGTACATGCCCTTGACCGGAATTGAACCTGGGACCCTTCAGTCCCCAAGCCGACGAGCCAAACTGGTCTCGGCTCAAATTTTTTTAAAAATACCTTATTTGTTTTTTGTTTATTTATTTTGTTGCTGTTAATCCTCAACCAAGGATATTTCTCCATTGATTTTTTAGAAAGACTGAAAGTGAGGGGAAGAGACAGAGAGCCAGCCCTTGGGAATCGAATCTGGGACTTTTCAGTCGAGGGCTGAGATTCCTCTCAACTGAGTCAAACTGGGTAGGGGTGTTTTTATTGATATATATATATATATATATATATATATATATATATATATATATATATTTAAAATTATTATTATTTTTTTTTTTTTTTGAGAGAGAGAGAGAGGAAGGGAAAGGGAGAGAAGATATAAATATGGATCAGCTGCCTCCTGCACACCCTCTTCTGGGCTAATCAAGCCCGAAATCCAGACCTCTTGGTGCATGGGACAACGCTCAATCCACTGAGCCACAGTGGCTGGGGAAAATTTCCCTTCTTAATAAAAAGGCAGAAGACTGACCTGATCAGTTGCCTCCTTGACAGATTTGAATTTTGAAGTGCCATTAAATCATCCAAGGGACTAGGAAAGTAGTATCATTGAGAGAGATGACGGTTTTGGAGTGAGAGTCCTTGGTACCTGTTTCTTACTCATCCCACCTAGAAGCTGTGACATCTTGGACAAGTTACTTAGCCTCTCTGTTCCTTGAGGCAGTAACACATACCGATTTCTTAGAGTGGGTGAGAGTCAGCAAGCACCTAGCAGTGCTTTCTGTTGCCTCGTACAAGAATGGTGGTGAAATGGAGACTCCAGACAGAGAGCCTTGGGTGGAAGAGACACAAAGAAGAAGCTTAAATACATTTTAAAGTATAGTCTTATCTGTTTTATAGCTGGGCCTAGCTCAACATTAGGTACCAAGCGACATTCGGTAGGTGTTGGAGTAGATGGAAGAGATGTAAAGCGTTACCTGCTGCTGCCTCCCCTGCCTGGAAAGCCTGGCCCGTGGCAGACACGCTTATTTGCTGGAAAAGTGAATGTTGTTACCATTCTGTGTTTGGTGCTGCCTTGAGTCGACCAATGGAAGTTAGTATAACCAGGCCCTTCTCGCTCTCCTCTCTTCCTCTCATTTGGCCCATTAGCCTGTCTCCTTCAGATGGAGCCAGTAAACTATGAACGGGTGAAAGAATACAGTCAGAAGGTCCTGGAGCGACAGCCTGAGAATGCCAAGGCCCTGTACCGGGCCGGAGTAGCCTCCTTCCACCTGCAGGACTATGACCAAGCTCGGCACTACCTCCTGGCCGCCGTCAACAGGCAGCCCAAAGGTGAGAGAGAGGGGATGGAGGGGGGAGAACAAAGACAATTGTCCTGTTAAGGGGGTAACTGTGGAAGGGGTTTTTGTTGTATTTGCTTGTTTTTAATATATTTTTATTGATTTTTAGAGAAGAAAGGGGAGGGAGAGAGAGACAGAAACATCAATGATAAGAGATAATCATGGATCGGCTGCCTCCTGCACGCCCTCAGCTGGATATAGAGCCCGCAGCCCGGGCATGTGTCCTTGACCACAATCAAGCCTGGGACCCTCCAGTTTGTAGTCTGACGCTCCATCCACTGAGCCAAACTGGCTAGGGCATGTTTTATTTCATTTTTTTCAAATTTTTGAATAGGTAATATTATAATATATTCACATGGTTCAAAATTCAAAAACTATGAAAGTATACCATGAACAGACCTTCTACTCTTATATTCTTGTCTCCACAGAAAAGCAATTTGTATATATATCCTCCAGAAATCTCTATGCTTAAACGGCACACAGAATTCCTCCCTCTCCCCCCCGTAGAAGGGATTTTAAGGCATTGTTTTTTGCCCTGGCCAGTTTGCTCAGTGGATAGTGTTGGCAGGTTTGATTCCTAGTCAAGGTCACATACCTCAGTTGCAGCTTTGATCCCTTATATAAAATATAAGCTATTTGTTCATGTTTCTTACCTTCAAGTATATAGATTAACTGCCACCCCGGTATAGTATCTTTAGTGGCTCTGCTATGACAATAACTATTTCTTCAACCTCCCTGTCATTATAAAATTGGCAACCAGCCGGGACGTGTATGAGATTTTTTTTTTTTTTAACCCAAAGTGATATTAATGAGATTTACTATTACATGGAATAGTAATATTTTCAGATCTTAGAATGATTTTTAAAACTGGAAGTATGTCCCCCTAACTGATTTGGCTCAGTGGATAAAGTATCGGCCTGTGGACTGAAGGGTCCCGGGTTCGATTCCAGGCAAGAGCATGTACGTTGGTTGCGGTCACATCCCCAGTAGGAGGTGTGCAGGAGGCAGCTGATCGATGTTTCTCTCTCATCGATGTTTCTAACTCTCTCTCTCTCTCTTCCTCTCTGCAAAAAAAATCAATAAAATATAGTTTCAAAAATTAAAAAAAAAGGAAGTATGTTAATAAATCGCCCCCTACCCCGAGGTGAGATTATGGTGTATCTCTAATTGCCTTCTCGCCCTCTTGTAAGATGCCAATGTCCGGCGGTACCTGCAGCTGACTCAGTCGGAGCTCAGCAGCTACCATCAGAAAGAGAAGCAGCTCTACGTGGGCATGTTTGGCTAACAGAGAAGAAGGACGCTTCTCCACTTGGACTCTGGTGAATGGTGAACCAGTGGAGTCTCACCCAGTGACATCTGACCTCGCAGGAGACAGGAGCCCCACACCTCTGACCCAGGTGTCTTTCTTGTTTCTAGTTCTGCACAAACTCTTAACTTCTTACACAGTCTGCCTTTTGTGTGTGTGTGTGTGTGTGTGTGTGTGTGTGTGTGTCTATCCATCTATATATTTGTATAGCTTTTAATACATGGCATTTTTATGGACATTTGCCCTGAGAATTACAACCAGAATATATTCATCACCTGTGTGTGGAATGAATCCTATCTACAGCATAGATTCTAATGATGGATGTTGTTAGATGTATTCATACACAGAGGAGAAGTTTAGCAGAGGATGAGGTAATGACAGACAGGAAGGAGTTTCTTCCTTTGTTTTCTCAGATGCCCAAAGCCAAAGGTAGACAGGCCAGAAACTGAGCAGTGTATTTCTTTTGTGAAACTAGACAATTATAAATGGGGCCCACGTGTCTTAAAATGAATGGTTTCAAAGAAAGTGAATTCCTTATTTTTAATATTCCACATATATTCAGATTCTTCTTCCCCTACAAAAATATCTGGCTCCTATTGGTGGGGTAATTTCTGGTCATTTGTGCTGTTTATATTCAGATCATTAGAGTAGACTTACTTAATTTTTCATTAAACTCTTCTATTTTAAGATCTCTGTAGTCATGCACTTAAGTATTTATTTAATAATCCTTCTTATTCTCATGCTACAAAAACACCCAAGTAAACAGTTTTGTTTTTAGTAAGTGTGTTGCTGTAGCCTGCCATTTTCTCTGAAACACTTAGGAAAGGCAGATTACTAAGTCTGGAAACAGTGCCATGAAAGAGCAGGATACAAACATAAATCTGTCCTTTACCTGTCACCTTGTATTCTGTCAGAGCCCACTTCCCCTACCGAGGAGGGAGGCAGTGGGAAAGGTTCTCCTACCTTAGTGACTTTACGAACTTTCTGGAAGCTGGGTGGGCGCCAGTGCAGGCTGCAGACCTGCTGCAGCCACTGCTCAGGAGGAGGCTCCATCAGCCAGGAGCTCCTCTGTCCGTCCATCACTTTTGTGAAGAATGCCCACAATGAAGGAGGCGTACAGAGCAGAGGAGACCGCCTAGCACTGCCTCCGCCTTTGTGAGTGGAGCTGATCGTAAGCATGTGCCATGAGCCATCACACAGCCACCGACGGCAGAAGGAACACCTTAGTCTGGCCAAATGCACTAAGTTCTTCTCCCTTCATCAGTAACTCCCCATCTCCCCATAAAATAGGCTCTTCTTGTTCTCCCTCTTCCCCTCAGTAATGCAGGCGTCAGGGGTGGGGAATTGGTAAGATATGTACACATATAATACCTTAATAAAAAAAATGAAAGAAAAAAAAAGTTAAAAAATAATGCAGGTGTCAACTTACAACACAGCCTTCTTCTACCAAATCTTAATGAATCCAAGGATACAACTAACAAAAGTAAAATATTTTATTCCTTTCCCAAGCCCCTTACATCGCTAAATCTAGATAGTTGACAACATTTTGTCCTGGTTGCATGTTTTGTTTCTTCTGGGCAGTTTTTGCTTCCTGATTCCATTTTGTTTGTGATTTTTCTCTCTCATCAGTTTTTTCAATGTCACCGTGAGCTACCTTCTGTACCCATGAGGAAAAAATAAAACATATTTAAAAATGAACTTTAGAAAGCTATTGTACTCATCTTTTCATGAAGGCTGCTGAGACAGAGCGGTCAGGCTCCCATTTCAGTCTTCATTTCCAGGCCAGCTGAGCGGAGGTGTTGGTGAACAGGAAGAGGGACAGGGCAGGCAGTCTGGTTGGGTCTGGAGGTCCGGGAAGCCCACGCCCGCAGGAGCCATCCAGAGGGTTCCACATACAGCTTTCCACGGGATTCCAGGGCCTGACCGCAGAAAAAGCATTCATGGAGGCTGTGACGGCTTACACTTTGGCAAATAGGAGACGGTTTCGAATAGTGTTTTCCAAACTCATACCACCCCCTTTACAATTTTGCCAAGACCACATACTATCTAGATTACTATTTATGTATGTTATTTAAATATGTGTTTTTAAGAGAACCTTTGGACAGAGGGACATGTTAGATGTTATTATTGGGATGTAAATAGCAAACTCCAAACGGAAACCATAAGACAAGTAACTCGATTTCCTCAATAGTAAATTGCAATGAAAAGAGAGCGGGAGTTATAGAGTCTTAAGAGAAGTCAGTCAGCCAAATAAATGTGACTCTGCTTTGGATTCTGACCTGAAAAAAAACCCTCTAAAAGTTTATGAAAGTAATAGAACAGATATACATATATATATATTGGTTTCTCCTTGCAAAATGAAAGCAAATGCTTGCTCTTCAGGGAATGTCACCAAGAAACAGCCCCTCCGTGCCAGGTGTGAGGGTGGCTGAGACGGTAGCAGTGGTTCCTGTTCACACTGTCTAAAGCCGTGGTCGGCAAACTGCAGCTCGAGAGCCACATGCGGCTCTTTGGCCTTGAGTGTGGCTCTTCCACAAAATACCACGGCCTGGGCGAGTCTATGTTGAAGAAGTGGTGTTAGAAGAAGTTTAAAAAAATGTGGCTCTCCAAAGAAATTTCAATCGTTGTCCTGTTGATAGTTGGCTCTGTTGATTAATGAGTTTGCCGACCACTGGTCTAAAGGAATGATATTCAATTATGTTCACACGTGCACACATTTATTATATTTGCTTTTAGGAACCCATGTTCTAAGAAAGCCTATTTCTTTTTATATATTTCACCTACCATAAAATTCACCCTTTTGAAGCAACTGATTGCTTTTAGGCATTTTCACTTCCTCTAGCAATGACTGGGAACGCTCCCCTCAGCCAGAACAGCTCTTACTATGCCCGTGGGTGGACTTTGCCCTGTTTCACCAAGGCGTACAGGCAGTCCTGTATTCGCATGAATAAAGTTAGCCTTTTGAAAGAGGAACTGAAGGGTTATTCCAACACAAGGAAAGTGCAAGGTGAGAATTCAAGCTTTTCGGCCATGAATGTGATAAGCATCAACTTTTGTTTCCCATGATGTCCCCAATAGGAGCTTTCTGTGGCCAAATCTTCCATGCTTGGCTCTGCCTCCTTCCCCAAATTCAAAAATAGTAGTTGATGATGACAGTCAAATCCCAAAAAGATCAAAGAAATTCAGAAAATGTGCTCATAGTTTTGCCTTCTAAATCCTCCTTCCTGCTTTCCTTGCACCGGGTTCCTCCTATGCAGGAGGGGAGGGTTTCTAGGGAGATTCCAGTCCATCCTACAGCCCAACAGGGGCAGGCCCTTCTCTTACCCAAGTACTTTCCCCCATCCTACATCAACTCCCCAAACTCCCGTTTCTCTGCTATCTCTACTGTCAATAGCCATCTGTTTGACCGCACAGGAGTAATTTCACCTCCAGGCTGTCAGCACACTTTTTAAGTAGGATTCTCTCATCTGGAGTTTCCCAAGCACCCATCATTTCCACACCAAATACCTCAACTCCCCCCCCCCCCCCCCCACGAACCTATCCCACAGGGCTCGGTGCTGTCTGCCTCTCCATTTCTTATTTTCACACTTCTGACATGTAAGCAAAAATGCCAGGTCATCAACACAGTATATGTTGTTGAAGCAGCCAAGTAAAGGTCTTTCTGTGCAGAAAACAGGTGAAGGGGTAAGGACGCAAAGCCCTACAGTCAAAAGGAGAGAATAGAAAACAACTCATAGTTCTCAGGAAACTATTTCAACAGATTTTAAACAGGCACTGTGAGCCTGGTTGTGTTTAGTCACACGCCATGGTTCAGATTCCAGCTTGCCCGTTACCCGGCTCTGGGACCTTGAACAAGTCAACTTTAATTTTTGAGTTTCAAGTTCCCTAGTCGGTGGGCAAAAAGGGGAGGGCTAATACCTCAGAGAGCTGTTGAGGACTAAATGAGCACTTAGGGGAAGTTCCTAAGGGCCCGGCACACAGGAGCTCACGGCATGTGATGAGCCAGGACTGTGAGACTCCCTCCTTCATAGACTTTTTTCCTAAGCAGAGTCTGCGTTACCCTGTGCCTACGCCACTTCTTTCCTCCAAAGCTACCTGATCCTCCCCGCCACCCCCAGGACAGATGCCATTTTCTTAAAGGAGCTAGAGGAGAGGGATGAAAGCGGGTTTGTGGAAGAAACCAGCCAACACCAGTTCAGTAAGATATTTTCACCGCTCGCTTTATGGTCCAGAACTCGGAGTGCGAAGTGGTTACACCAGGAAAATTCCCTTGGAGAGGAATCGACTGGGGAGAGCAAAGGGTGGGAGGGACGTCAGTCTGGGCAGCATCCATTCCGTCACCCAGCGGGGGAAATGAGATGCTGTCAACCTCCTGTGTCGCAAGAGCAGCCCTGCTCCCTGCTCCCCCAGATGTCAGTTTTTGGGGCCAAGTACAAAATCTTTGGGGGGCCCTCCAGCAGAGCTCTGTCTGTCGGCGGTGGGGGAGCCCGGGAGGGGCTGCCCTCCCAGGAGGGGGCCGGCCTCCGGGTCCGGCTTGCTGCGCTTGGCCAGGTCCTCGTTGTGCGCCTTGCGGATGTGGCGGTACAGGTCCCCGGACTGCGTGTAGCTGCGCAGGCAGTAGCGGCACTCGTAGGGCCGCTCCCGCGTGTGCACGGTGGCGTGGCGCCGGAGCGTGTAGGAGCAGGAGAAGGTCTTCCCACACGTCTTGCAAGTGGGAACGTCCTCAGTAAAAACACCGAAGCTTCCCGGGGCCGCTTCGTACTCAGGAGGCAGGTAAAGTGGCTCATGCAGGGTGGGGGGTGCCGGCAGGGGCGAGGTCACCAGCCCTCGGTGATACTGCCCTGGGCCTGGCAGCAAATGGTAGGGGAGGTGCGAATCCGAGGGCAGGAACTGGTCACTTGGCCCCACCTCCTCCAATCCCGCTGCCCTGGGCTCCTCAAAAGCATCCGGCTGGGGAGGATGAGCTCCATACAGCGCCT